TGTGTGTGTGTGTGTGTGTCTGTGTGTGTGCGTGTGTGTCTGTGTGTGTGTGTCTGTGTGTGTGTCTGTGTGTGTGTGTGTGTGTATGTGTGTGTGTGTGTATGTGTGTGTATGTGTGTGTATGTGTGTGTATGTGGGTGCGTGGGTGCGTGCGTGCGTGCGTGCGTGCGTGCGTGCGTGCGTGCGTGCGTGCGTGCGTGCGTGCGTGTGTGTGTGTGTGCGCGCGTGCGAACGGCTTTTGCTGTTAAAACCCTAAAAATTCTGAAGCCTAGTCCCCTCGGTTCGAGGTTCAAGGTTTAAACATTGCTTGTTGGGTCGATTGGGGTTGGCGATTCAGAGCACAACCCTCTTTTGGACCCCCTCCTCCTAGGGCTAATGTAGGGTTTAAGCCCCTAAAACCCAAGTACCTAGACCCCTAAACCCCGTTTTAACCCCTTAACCCCTAAACTCCGAAACCCTTAAACTCCTAAAACTCCTAAACTCCTACACCCCTGAAACCCCATAAGAGCTCGACGCAGGCTTCCTTCGACATTGTTCTGGAGAAGGGCACCTTTGATTCCCTGCAAGAGAACCTGGGCCTTCTCGAGGCTGGGTGCTGTTGCAGCTTAGGGTTGAAGGGTTTATGGGGTTTATAGGGTTTATAGGGTTTATAGGGTGTATAGGGTTTATAGGGTTTATAGGGTTGAAGGTTTATAGGGGTTTTTGAGGGAGGGGGGTTCAAGGGGGGTTTGTCACCCCCAGGTTTTCTGGCAATCCCTTCCCCCTATTATTGAACGGGTGCCCCCCCCCCCCCCCCCCTCCGCCAGCTCGAAATGTGTTTTTCTTAAATATTGGGGGGGGGGGTGTTTTTATCCATATGCCATCTTTTGGGATAGAGTTTAGATTGGCTTGAAGGCTGCGGAGTTCCCAAACCCTCGCAACGTAAGAGGGTCTTCCATGTCGTCGTCATTCTGAAGCAGCACCCAAGAAGACTTTGAACAGGATGGGTTTAGGGTTTAGGGTTTAGGGTTTAGGGTTTAGGGTTTGCCCTCGTCCAAAGAGCCTCAGATCTGCAGACGCCCCCGTTCGCAGGCGGCATCCGCAGAGACTCGCCGTGTTCTTCGCCGCGCCGGGCTTCTGATCTCCATCACGGAGCCAATTTAGGGTTTAGGGTTTAGGGTTTAGGGTTTAGGGTTTAGGGCTTAGGGTTTAGGGTTTAGGGTTTAGGGTTTAGGTAAACCTTCCAGAACACCGTACTGGTCTGGTTTAGAGTTAGGGTCTAGGCAAGTCCTGCCAATCAACGGAATAGCCTCCTCTCCTGGCAAGGAAGAGCTGCAGATGAAAACTTCAGCCTTACGCTTGCGTACTTGTCAGAATCTTCCTTATGCCCTGGATGCGAGACCTCACGCCAACTCACAAACAAGAACCTAAACCCTCAACCCTCAACCCTCAACCCACCCAAACCCTTTAACCCTAGACCCCCAAACCCTCAACCCCAAACCCTCAACCCTAGACGACCCTCAACCCTCCACCCTCAAACCCTCGCCACGACGATTCCAAAACCTTTCAGGACGCGCCACGAGACCGCCGCCTGGATCAGCTCGGGCGCAAGCACCTCGGCACTCCTGGCCCTTCTCCCCACCCCTTTTTGGTTTAGGGCTTAGGATTTAGGTAGGGTTAACGGTTACCGTTGTCCTAAACACAACCCCCCCCCCCGCAACAAGAAAGTCCAGAAGAAGAAGAAGAAGAAGAAGAAGAAGAGTCGCCCTGAATTGTTTAAGGGAGTTGTGGACTCACGGTTTGGAGCGTGGATGTTGAGATTTGGGGCTTCATTGCAGGGTGACAGGCGTTCGTGGGAGGCTCAGGGGGAAAGGGAAGTCCGGCAGAGTGTACGTAAGTCGTTTACTTGGGGGTCTATGAGTGTCAGTGTGTTGCTTCCACTGAGCCTCAGCGCTTGCTGCGCATGTTGCTCTAGCCTGATCCGGTCTGCACGGGTGCTTGTACCATGGTACGCAGGTGCATGCAAGCTACTTTGTATCCTTTGGGCTAGGTGCCGTGTCCAGCAAGGGCTTTGCAAGACACACGCCTTGATGTCGGACATGGCGTCTGCACAAAACCCGAATGTCCATGGGAGACCCGACCCTAGAATGCCCAAGGCGCTGGCAAGACTGCCTGACCCACAGCGGCCGAATACCGACCACCACAGGGGAGAAGGAGATCTTTGTGTCTCCTGCCTCCACAGTCACAGGGCTTAGGGGGTCTTCTGGCTATTAATAACTGCTCTGTCGCTCCTACAGCTCTAATGACCCTGAACCCTGATGCCTGAACCCGTTGCGGAGAATTGACTGTCTGGGTACAAAAACAAGGGACCATGTCTTTCACCAATCCTTGTCTCCCTGCCCCCAAGTAGCTCTGAACCTTATAAGCTCTGTACCCTAAACCCTGAACCCAAAACTAAACCCTAAACCCTGAACCTTAAACTCTGAACCCAAACCCTGAAACCTTTCTGAACCCCAAGATCGGCCGAGGCCCTTCCATCCCTTTGCTAAACAGCTGAAGGCACGTCTGCCGGAAGTCTGCATCTGCGGGAGCATGGACTGACTTGCTGAGGCCGGTGGGTGCTCCATGGTGAGGATTTCTTGCTAGCCCAGTGGTGCCCTTTTCCCTTTTTTGGTTCAAGGTTCCCTTACAAAGTAACCAACCCCAAGAAAGGGTACCTTTATTTTAAGATGGAAACTGGGCTACCAGGATTTAGGGTTTCTCCATGACTTGGTGCCGCTATTTGGGGATATTCCCGCTAGGCCCTTGGGATGTTCTTAGATGTTCCTTTATGAGGCTGTTATGTAGGAATCTTTCTCAGAGAGTTCGAAGAGCGCCCACCTGGATAGCTAAGAGCCACATAACCCTTAAACCTAAAGCCTAAAGCCTAAAGCCTAAACCCTAAACCCTAAACCCTAAACCCTCCATCTTCGAGGCGTTGGCTCCCCAGCTCCCTAGCCGAACCTTCCGAGCTCTAAGAGGCGCAACTTCGGAGGCGGGCTCAGGGTTGGGGTTGTGTAGTGTTTAGGGTTCGGGGTTTAGGTTTGGAGGTTGGGGTTAGTTTGGGGTTTGGGGTTTGGGGTTTGGGGTTTGGGGTTTGGGGTTTGGGGTTTGGGGTTTGGGGTTTGGGGTTTGGGGTTTGGGGTTTGGGGTTTGGGGCTTAAACGGCTCAGGTCTTCGGATGCTTGGGATGACGGGGACTACGGGGTTTGGGTCTTTCCCTTCTTAAAAAACTGAGCCTTCCAGTAGGTTAGATGGGGGGGAGTTGAGGTTTCCGGGTAGCTGCGGGTAGCTAGCCGCTAGCCTCTGGTTGAAAGTGGTGTAGCAGTGTAGCTGTTTTGAGTGTGTTTTGGGCAACCCTAATAACGAACCATTGTGTAAAGAGTATCGGGCTACCTTGGGACACGCTTGGGCTGTTAGGAGGGTTTCAGTGCGTCGGGTCTACTTGGTGTAGGTTTTGGTTTTGTTTGAAGCCTCACCGCAGTGTTTTGCAACTGGTCGGTCGCTCTTGTTTTTGTACGCTCTGCAGCTCGGTCCTTGGGGTATGCACCCCTTCGTGCCCAGGACATCAGCTCGGAATGTGACGGAGCTTGCAAGTGACCCTCGGACACGTGAACGTCACTCCTGCGTTCTCTGAGTCGGCTGGAATGCAGGAGGGGGCAGCTGAAAATTCCCCAGCATTAAAAGTGCGGTTTTCCCGACACGCTTTGTTCCCCTGAGGCACTGCAGACTTCAGGCCTCGATTTGCGACATGGTCCACCTCCCTGATCTGCCAGGCTTGGACGGGCGTCCCAGACTTTGCGTACGGATGCTTTGCCCTAAACCCTAAACCCTAAACCCTAAACCCTAAACCCCTGAGCCCTCAGCCGGGTGTTTGACTTTTTAGTTGGTGGTTCGTCGATGAATTCCAAAGAGCTCTCGCTGCAGAGGCTGAAGATCGAGAGCAGTCCCGGAGCGCTGTGATGCAACTCCACGTGAACGCGACCGGCGAGAATACCATAGTTTTGTGGTGTTTTGGGCATACAAGGGGTTTCTTTAGGGTTTAGGGATTCCAGGGTCTACCACGCGACACCTGTCTGAGTCAGAACTTGAACTCCAAACAACAAGCTAAAACACCACTAACGACTAACGATCTTCCCCAAATGCGCGCAGTTGGGAGACCGCAATCCGGCCCCAAACCCAAGTAGATATCTTGAGGCAACCTCCGGGCTTCCACCTCCCAAAGCTGTCCCTGTAGGCAGCACGAACGCAACCTTCAGGAACCCGGGTTGAGAGGGTGACTGGCTTTGATCATGGGTTCCCCTACTACCCCCCTCTATACTCCCCGCCCTAGGTTCCCCTCATAATTAATGCCCTATGGCTTACAGCTGTGCCAGTCTCTTTCAGACTTGTCACTGTCACACCAGAACGCTGAAGCGGGAACAAATGAACGGCCTTGCCTTGCCTGAAATGTTCCCTTGTCTTTCCGGCTTTTCTCGGAGATGTTCGCAGAAAAGGGTATTCTAGCTGCGTGGTTTAAAGGTATGGCTCCACGCCGATATTCAAGATGAGCCTCGCATCGCGCCTTCCCTGGTAACAAAGTAGAAGATTTTTCGCGCTTGTGCAGCCTTAGCCCTGGAAACTGAATTGAGGGGGGTTTCGCGCTTAGGTAGAGGTGCCCAGGCCAATCTAGAATAGCAAGAACTTGAAGCTGCTCAGAAAAATGCTCAACGGCACAAAGCGTTTCAATATGGAGCTCTCGGTGCCCAACGCACTTCGAAGCCTAAGCCCCTCCCGCCCCCCCTCGTCCCGCGTGCTGCGGTTTAGGGTTTAGGGTGATTTCGGGTATTTATCCTTCCCTTGAAGCTCCAAAGCCCCAAAGCCCAACGAGCCCGGAACCTACAAACTTCAAGCCAAGCACCCTGCTTTTCCCTGTCTCCATCGCAGGCCCCAAGTCATCCTTCTGGGCAAAGGAATCGACCGGCTACCAGCCACTGCCTCTAGCGGAGGCACGGGGGGTTCTAAGAGTTTTCAGAGCTTCCAAGGGTTTGTAGGGCTCTTAAGGCTTGTAGGGCTTAGAGGGCTTACAGGGTTTGTGAGCTTCCAAGGTTTTACTGGGATTGCAAGGCCTACAAGTTGGGTCTTGGTGGGCTTTGTTATGGTTTATACGGCGACTTCATGGGCGAATAGCGTTGGCAGGGTTTATAGTGGATGATGGGGTTTACGTAGCGTCTGGTTTTACGGTTTGGGAGTCCGAGGATTGAGGATTGGAACTTTAAAGGCACTGGAACCCTTTTCGGTTTCTTGCAGGGTGAGGACGCTTCGGAACTTGCACTTCCCCTGGGACGTCAGGTTTGGCTGTTGACTTTTTTGCAGGCCTCCGGATTCAGATGCGTGCATCACACTGACAAGCAAACATAGCAGCGTGTGCTCTTCCACGGGCATTGTTAGTCAACTTGGCTTTAGACCTCAGACCTCAAAACCTAGAGTACAGTGGGCTGGTTGAGGGCATGAGGCTGCATGATTGTGCCTTGCATGTGCACGTCAAGGGTATCCGCACTGACAGGTTTCATCTAAGCTGGATATGTGCATCCTGTTTTGGATATTAAGAACATATCTCTATCGCTCTTTCTCACTCAGCAGGTGCAACCTGTTTCCTTTGACTGGAACTCATTATCTAATTTGCTTCTCTTCCTGAGTTCGATGCGTCCTCCATGTACCCCCCCCCCACCGCCCCCCACCCCCCCCCCCCAAACCCTAAAGCCTAAACCCTAAACCATGTACCCCCAGCGAGATGCAACTGGCTGAAGCTCTTTTTCCCCAATGCGCTGAACAGCTCCTGAAGCGAGGTTTGTTTTGTCAGTTCATGTATGTGCGACATGCTGCCTTTCAAGAGTAGGCCCCGGTTTAAACATCGAAGCTGCTTAGATGATCTGCAGTAAGCAAAAGCTTACAACTGTTCCAGACCGCTGGAATGCACACAAGAACGGCACGTGTCGCAACTGCCCCCCCTAAGAAACACAAGGAGTTCAATAGCTCTTCAACGCCTTTTCATGCACAGGAAAGATTCAGCCCCCCCCTTAACCCACCCTTGAACCCCCCCCCCCCCCCCCCCCCCCCCCCACACAAGGTTCCGGAGGCACTGGCAATGCCGCAAGAACCCAAGGGAGAGATGCCAGCCGAAGAGGTGGACCTTCTTGGACTGACTGTTGGTTAGCAGGGAATGGGGGAATGAGGTACCCACATATTCCCTTAAAGGGTGTATGTTAATTCCCTCATTCCCTGCCAACAAACAGTCAGTGGAGGATCATGGGGACTTAGTAGGTAGGTGATCCGTGAAGTTTTCTTGCTAACCCAGTTGTACCCTTTACCTTGTGTTTTTGATTTTGTTCAAGGTTCCCTTATAAAGTCGCCAACCCAAAGAGGGTACCCTTGTTACAATATGGCTGCTGGGGTACCAAGTGTTTATGGGCTCTTTGGAGTTTAGGGGTTTAGGGTTCTCGGGCTTTAGGGATTTAGGATTTAGGGCTTTGGGGGCTCTTGGGGTCTGGGGGGTCTTAGGGTGTTAAGGCAGTAGGGTTTAGGAATTTAGGATTGAAAGTTTAGGGTTTTGGGGCTAGGATTCCCATGGGTTGTGGGCTCAGGTTTTGCTTCGTGCGGGGCGGTAAAGCTAGGCCCCAAAGACCAGCAAAGCTATGCCCCCTAGTGGAGTGACCCGTATATCCTTTTAACAAACGAAAGCGCACCTAATAATTAGGGTGCACGTCCCTGTTTTGAAGCAGGTGCAGTTTACTTTGAGGCAGGCCCAAAGCCCCGACTTCCCTGAACGGTATCCTGTGGAGGTGGCGGAGGAGGACATATCCACCAAGGAAACTCAGGCGAGTCCGAATCCTAGATGCCGCGAAGTTTCTTTTGGTTTTGTCCTGCCTTTATCCTTCAGGAACTTCTAGGTATTACCCTGCCTTTCAGCCTCGGGGAAAACCCTTGGTGGGGGTGCTCACCCTAATACGTCGATCTTCCACTTCGTGATGGCAGTTGCCTGCTCGCTTCACAGAAAACACAATGCTCCCCGCTATGGCCACCACATTTCTACAAACCCTAGCCTAAACCCTAAACCCTGAACATCCACACCTCTGAACCCAAGCTGTCCTACTCGTGCAGGGATACTTCTTCCATCAAACCATGAGCTAATGATGCTCGTCGGGCTTCTGTCAAAGCGCAGCACGAGTCTGTCACAGCCCAGTATGAAGACGCCCTTCACTGATTCTTGCATGCCTCCAAGCTCCCTCAGTTCCATGTGAAGGCCGCACATCCTCAACCCTCAAACCCGAAATGTACAGAGTGCCATCTCTTGCTGCCAAGACTCCCTAAGCCTCCGAAAGGGCCCCCCCAACCCCGCCACGAACTTTCAGACTGGAATACGCGATAATCTTTGATGGCATGCGGTGCTGCTATATAAGGTGTATATATATATATGTATAGAAATACATAAATATGCATATATACATATCGTTTTTTGAAAAACCGAAATCCTATATCCCTGGGCGAGGAATGCGAGGACCGATGGTCCGTCAAGGACTTTGAGGCCAAGGCGGCCGCCTTTGTCAGCGGCCGGGCGCCTTGAAACTTTCCAGAGGCAGCTTTTTGTTTTTTTGGGTTTAGGGTTTTGGGTTTTGGGTTTTGGGTTTGGGGCTGTTAGAGTGTAGGGGTTTAGGGTTTAGGGTTGTTAGGGTTTGGGGAGGGGTCACATGTGAACCCTTTTGGGTTTAGCCTGATTGGGTGTGGAGGTTTAGGGATGAAGGTTTGGGGTGCAGAGGGGTCACATATCAACCCCGAGCCCAAGCCCTACACTTCCAGGGATCCAAGTCAACATTGTCTCCTCCTACCGTAGGAACGAGGAAGGGGGGGGCCCATTCTTTAAGCCCTGGAACCGGTTGAGGGAACCTATGAGAAAGGCGCACAGGGTTCTAGTAGCATATAGGGCTTCTTTAGCCTTCAGCTTCAAAGGCCTCAAATATCGGGGGCTCGGGGCTGGGAGTATATTTCTCGAAGGGTCTTTGAGTCCAAAAACATGCTTGAAGGCTTCAAGGGCAGTATTAAGTAGGGTTGAGGGTTTAGGGTTTAGGGTGTAGGGTTTGGGGGCCTTTATGGGTGATAGTTTAAGGGGCATACCTCTCCCAACAAATTTCGCAACCACGCAGTTGTAGCTACGAGCTGAGGGGCGTAAAGCAATGTCATGTGAGGGCTTGGGCCCTGCAGAGCCCAAGTGGCAGTTACCCTAATCCCTGGACCCTAAACACTCTAAGCTTCGCTTGAACCTTCAATGCTGAACCGCCAGGAACTCTCAACCCCAGACTTTGAAGCCGAGGTTCCGATTTAGGGTTTTAGGGTTTTCGGGGTTTACGGCCTTTAGGGTTTTGGGGTTGTAGGATTTCGGGTTTAGGGCTTAGGGTCCTCTGCAAGCTTTGTTGCGAATAGCTTAGGGCTGCCTTTTTTAGAATTATGGTTTTATGCCCCCCCCCCCCTAGCAGAAAAAGAAAACCTTGGCCTCAGTTTCCATCAGAGTGGCCCTGATCCCCACAACCCTAAACCTCCAAAGTCTTTGAAGCTCCAACATCGCATGCACGCTGCGTAATTCTTTTCTCAAGCAGCGGCCATGCACCTGGAGATCCGTTGGTGGCCATGCAACCTCGAGAGCGATGCCAGCGGGCATCGAGGCATCAAGGGTTCTTTGGGTGTAGAGTATGCCGGTTTAGGGTTTTTTGGGTGTGTGGAATTAGGGTTTAGGGTTTGGGGTCGAGAGTATTGGGGGTTTAGGGCTTAGGGCTTTGAACGGTGTAGGTGTTCGGGTTTAGAGTCTAGAGTTACGGGCACTTGGGTTTAGGGCTTAGGGTCAGTTGCATTCAGGCTGAAAGTTTGAGCTTGGGGATTGGTTGTTGAATGACCCCTGATGCAGGTGCTGGTTTGGGGAAGTGGGGGATTGAAGTATAGGTATTGGCCTCTAGCAGGACAATCGGTTCGAGGCCCGATATCGACTCAGGGGTTTCTGGTTTAGGGGCCGGCGGTGCTGGTTGTTGGGTTCTAGGGCGCGCAACGCAGGAGCCAGTGGCAAGATGCCTTGGTCCTCCTCGCAGATCTGCAGGACTTCCAAATCAAGATCTGCAGAAAACCTTGGGCTTTGGGCTCCTAAATCCTATAAACCCTATAAACCCCGACCTTCATCACTGAAAACCGGATGCTGCTTGCTCATGCTCTTGGGGTGCTGTGGCCAGTTCTCTAGCTTTTGGCCCCAAACCCTAAACCCTAAACCCTAAACCCTAAACCCTAAACCCTAAACCCTCCACGTTTCCCCCGGTATTCGCACAGGGGGCTCCTGACCTCAAGAAGGCCTCGGGCCTTCAACGCAGGACTCCAGGGCTGCTGCGAGCATCCGAGCCTACACTGCAGCCATCCGCGCGCTTCGCTCAGGCTCCCCAACATAGGGCCATCGGGTTTCGGGCTCATTATTTATAGGTTTTGTTGGGAGGTGTGTACCGTGTGATGGTTAAGGACTCTTTTTTTTCAGATGGTTCAGCGGGCCAACGCAGAGAACTTCTGCTTAAGCCTTTCTTCCATGATGAAGCAACGAGGGCATAGCACCCTTTTTTGGAGTTCAGGCCCTCTGAAGTCGGCTTCGACCACCGGGCTTCACCAGCTTCACCCCCCCGGTCCCCCCACCAAACACAACTCCAAAGAGTTGAACCGCTTAGAGTCCAGGGACCCACGCTCTTCCCTAAAAGGGGCGCAGCAGCAGTCCCCGAAAGAAGGAATCCCTGAAGCTTGAAAGTAGCTTCCCGGCGCCAAGCTCTTCCCACCAGAGGGCTCGCAGCAAGAGACCCCTGAACCCTAGACCCTAAACCCGCAACCCTAAACCCGCATCCTTTCGGGGGTTTTCCTACTCCCTCGGCTTGAGGCCTTATTTAGGGAAACCCTGAGCCATAGACCAAACATGTGTCCTTGGGAAAGCCAGCTAAAGCCCTACAACCCCCAAAACCTATATAAACCCTATCAAACCCAAACCATACCCAACCTCCAGCCTATGAGGATTCTTACACCCTACCACCTAACCATGAATAATAGTCAACCACCCTGAACCCTGCACCCTGGAACGCTTGGGATTGAGTTCGCCAGGCGGTCGCTGGCAGCATGCGCTAGCCTTGATGGCGCAGATGTCGGCACTCGGGACGTTGAAACAGCTTTGGGTTTCGAGGTTTTTTTGTGTTTGGTATAAAGTATGAACATGAAGGTCCTGTGGTAAAGATGGCCCTGCTTTCTTGCTTTCTTTTGGGAGGGGTGGGGGAAAGGGAACTAGGAGGCCCCTTGATTCGAGCGTGTGCGGAGGATCGTGGCTTAGGGTTTCGGGTTTAAGGCGTTTGTGCGATTTGGCTAAATCCTAACTGAATAGGGTCTAGGGTTTAGGGCTTCGGGCTTCGGGCTTCGGGCTTAGGGCTTAGGGCTTAGGGCTTAGGGGCCATGGCCAAATGTAGTCTAAGCAAGCCTCAAGTTTGCAGCTCTTCTCGCGTGTTTGTCGATGCTCTTCCTGGACCCTCAAATGTAGCTCCTTGTGTTGGGTACTTAACTTCACGGTTCGTACTCGAGAATAAGACCAGAAATGCTTGCCTCCTTTAGTCTTTTGGACTTCAGGCTACGTTTAGAGAAGGTGCGGACGTATGTGCTGAGGGCTTTCTCAGCTCAGAGCAGCAATGATGCAAGGATGCATAAACGGGTCAGAAAGCAAAAGCAGCGGCCTGTTCCACAAACCTGCTCATTTCAAGGGAACTACTTGTCAGGCATCCTCTTATAAACAATGGTCTTTGCCCTAAACCCTGCACCCTGAAGCCGAGCCACATATTCGAGAGTGTGTAGGAAGGCTTACCCTAGCAGGTGGCCAGCATTTCTGCAGGGTTTTTGGCTTGAGGCTTTGGGGTTTTAGAGTTTGCGGGGTTGAGGGCGTTGGGGTTCCAGGGTTTTGGGCTTTTGCGGTTTGTGGGCTTTCGGGCTTCGGGGTTTTGCGGCTTGGGGCGTTCAAAGGTGTTCTTGTGGGAGGGCGGTGGGGGGGACGCCGTAAACCCTAAACCCTAAACCCTGAACCCTGAACCCTGAACCCTGAATTCTAAGCCCTAAAACCTTAAACCCTAAGCCCTAAACCCCGGCCCAGGCTGCGAGCTTGCAGCCGGACGTGATCTTGCACAGTGCAGCCATGAGCGCTTGCGAGAGGGGCTCAGCATGGCAGGCCATGGTAGGGGGGGGTGTCCTCTTACCTATATCCCTCTTGTTTTTTTTAATTTTGTTTATATCCTTACCTATATCCCTCTTGGTTTGTTTTTAAAATTTTTGTTTAAATCAAACCCCAGAGGATATTAAACATGTTATTGTAATTAAGGTTCTAAGGGGGAGTATAGTTACAGGTATCTTATTTCACTTGGAACCCAACACAATCAAGGACCTCCCTAGTGTAGAGACCCATGTCAATGTATGCCATCTACAAATGCAAGTGCGAAAAGAGGGAACGTAGCTTATCAGATCTATCGTCACAATGATCTGCTTTTGGTATATCATGCGTAGACGTATGCCTTAGGCATGCAGGTGTATGGGCATGTATGAACGTAGGTAGGTTTGTATGTCTGTACAGGCGTTGTAGCGTTGTCCTGTGTATTGTGTATTTTCCATTGTGTATGCGTGCATGTGCGCATGCATTGCATGCTTATGTGTACATACCTATGTAGTGTATGAAATTTAAATTCAGGGGCAAACCGATCAGGACGGCGTATGGGGGGCGGATGGCACACAGCCTTCGGCAAAGGCCGTCGAACCCCCCTAGCCTTCGTCGAAACCCTTGGCCTTCGTCGAACCCCCCCTCCCGGCCCTTGTGGCCTTCGTTGAACCTCCGGCGTTCATTTAGCCTTCGTCGAACCCTCGCGTTTTTTGTCGGGCTTTGTCTTGGCCTTTTGTATCGGCTTTGTCGAACCCCCTCCCCCTTCGTCGAACCTCCCGGCCTTCGTCGAACCTTCGCCCGGCCCCCGGCCTTCGTCGAACTTCGTCTCGGCCCGTTGGTATCCCGAGTCTTCGTCGAAGTTCCCCGGCCATCCTGCTCTTCGGCCATCCTGATGTGTTTTCTCCTTATAAATGTGTGAATGCATATCTGGAGCACATGTAATGTACGGTATGCAATATGTGTGACGCATGGTAATGCACTGTAAGGTATTGTACAATGGTATACTGTAGCTTTATGTTATGCCTGTCATTAACGATATGTATGCCATGCAACGTATGCAATGTAAGGGATGTATGTCATACACGTATACATAAAGTTAATGTCTGTATCATGTACAGCATGATACTGTATGTAGTACATATGTTGTGTATTTACACAAGTATAAGTCTACGGTCCACGGGGTTTCAGAACGGTTTGCGCACTCCTGAGAGCCAATACGGTACCCCTTTAGGCGAGGGAGCGATTGTGGTCCAGAATGCCATCAAGCGGGTCTTTGCGCACCTCAACCTCAAAGATAGAACCCCCGTTCGATGCGGGGGTTTACGATATCAAGGGTACCTTATTCGGGTCCTTTTATCAGGGGATTATGATTCTGCTATTTTGGGGGCTATACTTGGGGCCCCTATTTTCGCAAACCCCCAAAGCAGTTGGGGGCATCCAGCAGAGGTGCATTGGGCGAACAAGTTTGGGCTTGGGATCTTGAATCGGATCGTAGATGCAGTATGTGAATGAAGGGATTGGGTCTTCCAAGGTTCCGTAAAACCTGAACCCCATAAACCCTCAAGCCCTCGTAGGCAGCTCTGGCGCTACTGAAAGACGCGGTCAACATTCAGCTACAGGTGCCGTTGCAGCTATATCTCTACTTAGGAATACCTTGGGTGCTTTTCAGTCTTTGGGTACTATAAGTCCTTTAAGAAGCAGGGTTCCAAGTTCAGTATAGTATAGTCTCCTGAGGAAACCCAACAACTTTAAGGTTTGTGTTTTGGGTTGTTTTTCGCGTGGACTGATGGTCGGTCGATAGCAGGGCCAGTCTGGGCTCAGTCTCTCTTACAAGTGTTACACCTTATAAGCCCAACTCCCCAAACGCACCATGGCTTCCATCTTCTCGTCGTCTGGTTTCCAGCATTTTTCGAATGTGATGGTTTCAAGACAGAACCGTGCTAACCTGGGGAAGGGGGGGGGGGGCTGACCTACATGATGAGTCCTTACCCCGTTGCTGGGTTTTTGTTGTTCCTGAGCAATTTTGGGTGACAACCTTGCCCCCCCAAGCTAAGCTCCCTGCGCCTGCAGGCAGGGATCAACAATCCTTGCTTGAAGGTTCATGTGTAGCTGTAAGCTCGGTGATGAAGACTTAAAATTTCTGCCTTGAAATAAAGGTCATAAGCAGCCAGAACCATCAGTGGCCCTGCCTAAACCCCAAACCCTGAAACCCTGAAACCCTGAAACCCTAAACCCTAAACCCTAAACCCTAAACCCTAAACCCTAAACCCTAAACCCTAAACTGCAGCAAAAGCTGAAGCCCCGGATCCCGGAGGTAGACGTCATTCTGTACAGCGCTGCCATCAGCACATGCGACACTCGCCTCCACCATTTTTGGGGGTGCATCGGGTAAGTAAGTCCAGGGTTTAGGGTTAGTTTAGGGTATAATAAGGTTTAGGGTGTTGAAAGGTTTAGGGTTTAGTGTTTAGGGCTTAGGGCTATCCGCAGGAAGGAAGCCCCGACTCTTCGACTCTGACTTGCTTACGCCCTCAAAAATCTAAACATCCGAAACCCTAGGGGAGAGGGGGCGGGGTCCTAAACCCTAAACCCTAAACCCTAAACCCTAAACCCTAAACCCGGAAGTCCACTCGCAGGACAAGGGTCAGCAATGGCAACAAGCTCTTGCGCTCTTTGGCCAGCTGCAGGACTGCGATGATCCCTGGGCCTTGGACATAGCGGGGAAAGTTTTAATGTACATCTTAAAATAAGGGTACTTGAACTCCATAAGGAATAAAAATCCATATTTTCAATAGTATTTTAATACTATCCCAACCATGAACTAGGGCTATCTCCCCCTACCTTGCAGTCACGTGAACTGCAGCACGCGCTGGCACGGCGAGCAGACAGAACACGCACACGCACACACACACACACACACACACACACACACACACACACACACACTGATGCACACACACACACACACACACACACCGGGTGCACACACAGCTCGACTCTGCGCTGCGGACTTGACAAAAACCTGCAGGAATCGCACCGCAAACGCAACTGAACTGCACAGCCTCAACCCAGATCCTCATCCACTGCTGAACCGTAGACCGGACTTGCAATGACGCTGCAGGAGTCACAACTCCGCACCGATGTCATCGTCTGCAATGCCGCAATCAGTGCTTGTGCCAAGAGCGCCCGGGATGCACAATTAGGGTTTAGGGTTTAGGGTTTAGGATTCAGGGTTTAGGGTTGCTGGCATGGGTGGAAGGTTGGGGGTACTGAGTCCAATGCATCCGAGGTGGGCAATGGCAGAAAGCCCTGAGACTCGGCTGCTTTGCAGTTTGGAAGAAAGCAATTTCGTTGAGCTGTGTGGGCTTTGTGGGCAGGCATGAGCAGATGTTGATCCCTCTGTTTGGCCTCTGTTCAGACGAATGCATGCAGGTGCCTTCATTTGTCCGGAGACCTTAACCCTGGACCGTGGATCGTGGAACGACGGTTAGCTGTTATGTCCAGTGGCCATGCCTTCTTTTTTTGGTGCGCACTTTTGAAGGTCCGGACTGCCAGGGTTTAGGATGTTCCGTACGGTTCAGAATCGGTTTTCCTGCAAATTCCTCATATCGTTGCAGGCAGCTCTTGGAGTCAACCTTACAGGGGTTGAGTGTTGACCTTTTGCCTTTAAACCCTACACCCTAAACCCAAAGCCTGAAACCCCCAAACCCTGAACCCTATTTGATCCTCTTCTGCCCTTGGCCATGACATGAGCCCGACCTGAGGGCACTGCTGGAGCAGCTTCCGCAACAACACCTGGTGCCATCCGAGGCTGCCATTTTAAGGGTCGGAATATTTTCGAATAGTATTCCATTGTGGTCCTTGGCAGCCCAGTGGTACCCTTTGCCCCTTTTTTGGTTCAAGGCTCCCTCTTCGAATAACCAACCAACAAAAGGATACCCTGATTATAACATGGTCACTGGGCTACCAAGGGTCCCTTTATCTATGTACGATAAGAACCCCCCCCAAAAGCCCTATTCTGACTATTGACTATTCAGGCCCCCAAGCAGGGCTCGGCAGGCCTTTGGGACACTTCCTAGTTTCCCCTTCTTGGGGTTAACAGGATAAACCCTAAGCCCTAAGCCCTAAACCCTAAACTTATAATCCCTAAACCTAAACCCCAAACCCTAAACCCGAGAGCTTCGGGGCGTTCACAATCAGAAGATTTTTGTTCACAGGGTTTCAAAGTCCCTCTGAGGTGTCGGGCATTGTCGGGCTGCAAGGGCAAAGACATCCGGGCTTGGGTCAATTTAAGGTGAGGGCTTAGGCCTCCGTAAATCTTGAGGTTGAGGATTTATACGATGAAGGTTTTGGGGCTTGAGAGGTTTCAGGGGGTGAGGTTTGAGTCTCACGGCATAAAGACCTAATCCCTAAACCCTATAAGCCCAAACCCAAGTGGGTGGAGGTGCTTGGGATTTGCGGTCAGCTTTGGTACGGCCTCTCAGACTCAAAGTATTGGAGACCATTTAGTCAGAATGATTTTTGGGTCGCTTGAAGCATCATGTAAGAATTCGGGTAATGTTGCACCCTGTTTAGTATTGGCCCCCTCTTTAAAGACAAACTGGCCGAATTATTCAGGACCCCCTGACTGTTTGCGGGGTCTCCTTTAAAGTCAAACCGTCCGGGCGCCGTAAGAAAATTCCACGTGGCGCGCCTTTAAAAAAGATAACCGGGCATCGCTGCCCCTTTTGAACCTATCTAAACTCCTCCCTATTAAAATCATATGAGCCCCGGGGGCCGTGTAATCAGGCTCCCATCCACGCCTCGACTGGGGGGGGGGGGGGGGGGGGGGGCCCCCACACTAAACAGGGTGCAACATTACTCAGTATCATTTAGCGGATGACCGTTGGGGGATAATATATGGATATTCTTCATCTCCAGCAACTTCATCTGCCAAGGTGCTGTTGTTGCGCTAGATCAGGGTTGATTGGTATAAGGCCCAGATCCATACGCCTACGCCCCGCCCCACTCATCTCTCCTGAGCGGTGGCTGGCAGGTGACCTACAACACGGCCATCAGCGCTACAGCAAAGGTGCGTGGAGTCCGATGTGTATGCTATGCGGGTTTTGTTGAGGGCTTGGGGCATTGGGACTGTGGGTTCTTGATGCGGGTTCTGCAAGTTGTGCTATGCGGGGTGTCTCACACAGCTGCAGGCAGGCAGATGGGAGGTGGCTCTGCAGCTTCTGGCCGACCTTCATGCTTCCGGGCTTGCTTCAGAACGGCGGAAACGGGTCGGGTGGGGTTGGGGGGGGGGGGGGGGGAGGGAGGGGTGGCCACCACCACCATCAGATGATGATGATGGTGGTCACCATCATCACTTCGTCGTCGCAAATTTCAATCGTCATCATCGTCGTCATCGTGTCGTCATTGCCATTATCATCACCACCACCCACCACCACCACCACCACCATCATCATCATCATCATCATCAAGATCATCAATCGCAATCGTCATCATCGTCCTCATCGTGCCGCCGTTGCCATGATCATCGACAATCGCAATCGCCGTGATCGTCATCAGCCTTATAATCATTGTCATCGTCGGTGTTGTCCTCCTCCTCCGCCTCATCCTCATCCTCATCCTGCTCATCATCATCATCATCATCATCATCATCCTCATCATCATCGCCATCATCATCATAATCGTCGTCGTCTTCATCATCACCACCACCACCATCATCAGCATCATCATCACCATCACCATCACCATCGTCATCATCATCATCATCATCATATTCTTCATCACCATCATCATCATCATCATCCCTGTCGTGCAGCCGACAGCATTGTTTGCCACATGGCCTGTGCAGCGCAGTCGTCATGATCACCATCATGATCCTGGAGCTCCCTCGCAATGCAGCTTGCAGCCATGCATTTGGAGTTGAGTTGAGTCCTCAGTGTATTCAGTATCTAGAGGACTATCCTGTTGATACATTTGCTGCCATCCTTCTTCGGCAAGCACTAGCAGAATTGCGTTTGGATGCCACCCCGCGGCTTGCAGTTTGTTGTGTGTCACAGACCCTACCTTCGAGCCCATACCTTCCAAGGTTGTAACCCCCGATTGCAAGGTAGAGTCTCCGAATAGAAGGTAGCATTGAGGACCGGGGTGCGCCCCGGAACTCAGGCTGTTCGCATCCAGCCCGGGGCGATCGCCTTCAACTCGGCGACCGCGGCATGCGCGACTGGTGGTCACTGGCTCCAGGCGCCCTAGCCCTTCTTGGTCGTCAGCGTTTGCAAAACTGCTCCTCTACTCCGTTGCTCCGTACTCCACTCCTGCTAATCATAGGATTTAGAAGGCCTACAGCGCTTTGCGTTTAGGGCTTCGGGTTCTGCACCCAGTGCGCTGCACAACGGCAAAGACGTTGGCGGACATTCATCCCACAAGAGATGAAAGGGTTGAAGGCTTGTAGGGTCTTGGTTGGTGGTTGGGTGGAGCGCTTTTGATTTTTTAGTTTAGGCCTGTGGGGTCTAGGAATTCTCGGCTGAGGGTTTTGGGGCTTGGAAAGTTAAGCCCTTTCTTTTTTGAAGTTGTCGCCACGGATTTTGTGTCTTTGTTCTCGCTGTTTAAATGCTGGGCTCGGGCTGTAAGGGTTGAAACGTCGGCCCGCTTTGGTGTCCAGGGTTCAGAGTTTATAGGCCTTAGGGATTAATAGGCTTTAGGGACTTTAGGGTTTATGTAGAATCTATGTTGTTTATGCCAAGTTTATGCCAAATACGCGAAATCTTCAGTCTTTTGCCCTGGAGGCACTGGCACTGGTGGCAGCCGCTGAGAAAGCAAAGGCACGCGGTCCCCCTCTTTGGTTTAAAGGCGGTTTCGTCAATCCTAAACAACCCCGAACCCTAAACCCTAAACCCTAAAACCCTAAACCCTAAACCGTGTGGATGTTTAGGGTCTAATGTGTACGCAGGCACTGTCCGGCCCAAGCATGGAACAGGGAGGGGATGGGAGGGCGGTGCAATAGCTGCAACAGGGTTTTTCGGGGTTTTCGGTTTTTTGGGGTGTAGGGACTTGGCTTTCAGCTAATGCTGTACTCACTTTAGTATCCAGGGCCCCCACCCCCCCCCGCCGCCCCACCCCAAAACAATTTTGGGGTTTTTGTTTTTTCAACCGGGATGCTGTCTGGGGGTAGGGCAGGTAGGGGTCGAGGGTTGAGGGGAAGCCTTGAAGCTTGAGGGTCTAAGCTTTCCAGGGGGGCTGCGGGCTCATGCGGGTAACCGGAGCTCGTGAGCTACTCCCTTGGAAAACTGTTTGGGGGCCTGTTTCGTAATGAAATTTTCAAAGGAATTTACATAATTAAAGCCGGACTCAAGGAAAACTCCGGAGCTTCTTATTCACAACTTTTTTTTTTGGCTCCCTGGCCCCCCTCAACCCCCCCCCCCTTCATTCGCATAATTGCGGAATTGCGGTTAACCGTTGGCATTAGTAGTACTTTGTCCGCAAAAACGCATATTAGTGGGAAACGATACTAAGGCGGGGTGCAACATTACAGAGTGCCCATTGGAACCGAATAGCTTTGATTGCGCCAAGGGCTTTGTTAGTCATTCTTCTTTTCTTGCTGAAGATCCGCATTTGGTGGCTCAGCGGCTGCGTCTGTTCTTTTGGCAGAAACGGCGACATAAAAACACTCGCAAGCAGAAAGTACTTCGAGTACGGAAAATCAACACCAAACCCTAAACCCCAAATTAAAAAGGGTTTTTGTTACTGTTATTGGTAAGTGTATATGGGGCTCCTTATATCTTGGTGAGTGTCCACATGTGTGTCCTTTTGGGGATGTTAGAAACAACCCTGAACCCCGGGCTACACCCTAAACCCTAAATCTTTCTTGAGCGTTTATTTGCTAAGAGCTTCTCTCCTCCCAGGTGGCGGACTTGATCGGTGCAAGTTCGGCCATCGCAGCCTGTGAGCTGCTTGGCCGAGCTCTAGGGGAGTTTTGGGTGCAGGGTTCCGATTTCAGCATTTAGGGAGTGAGGGTTTAGGGTTGAGGGCATGCAGGTGGTGAATCAAAAGGGCTTGAGAAATATTCCACGCAGAACGCCAGGTATGTCTACCCGTCACCTCCTCAGTAGGCTCTAAGGGGTAGGAACTTCGAAGATGAGGGTGTGGCGTTCAGGATTGATGGGGTTCAGGGTTGACGGTTTTAAGTTGAAAAGGGTTTAGGGATATTTTTGCTTGGGGCCTGGGGCTTTAGAGCGGTTCTTGGCTCAACAGCTCTCTGGGTCGGAATTTCCAACTTCTGTTGGGGAAATCGATCTTTAGCCTCCCCCCAGGCCCAAAATCCCCTAAACCCTAAACCCTAAACCCCTAACCCTAAACCCTAAACCCTACACCCACGGCCCCTCAGACAGCCAGGAAAGCCTCAGAATGGCAAGTGGCACTGGCACTGCTGTGGCAGCTGGAGGAAGCCCTTTGTGGGTTTAAGGATTCCGGGTCAGGGGTTTAGGGTTTAGGGTTAAGGGTTTAGGGTTTAGGTTTCGGGCTTAGCGTTTAGGATTCCCGCGCCACTCCCGAAACCATAATCTGGCGCCCTTATCCTCCCGCAATATTGAAGGGTTCTTAAGGGAGGGGGGTTCATGGGGGTAGGTGCCGTCACGGTGGCCCTTTTCAGGTCGATTGGTGGTCGAATGTTTTGGGGGTTTAGAGGGAGCGTTCGGTCAAGTTCGGTCAGGAAGAGCTGGAGATTTGGCAGGGGCTCATGTGAGCAACCTTCTTTTGATACCAGGAGGCGGGCATTCAGTGCGACCTGCTTGTGTACAACTCCGCCACCAGTGCATGCGAAAAGGCTGCCGATTCTTAGCTTAACTACACGATACTGGGTTTAAGCGCAATGCCTCTAAGGGTGATGTGGGGTGCTTTGGGTCCTTGGATCGGAGGAGCCTTGCCTGAAAACGACAAAAAATTGCGAGAAGACATGTCAGAGCATTTACGGGCTTGGAGTTTCCACTAGAGTCAATCGGAGGCCCTAGTATCTAACCATGAAACCCCCCTAGTTCCGCAAACATTTAGCTTCCGAAGGAACAGGCTGCTGCCTTCACTCCCTCTAGACCTCATAGACTTCATACTCAAGACATTCGTGCCGAGTGTGCAGATGAAGCCCTCAACCCACAAAGGAATGGCAGTGGGCCCTGGCTTTGTTGGAGCAGGCTCAGGTCAAGAGCCTGCGAGCGACCCGGATCCAGACTAGCGGACTTGGAGACAGGACCCCACACCCCAAGCCCTCACTCGCTCGTTCTTCGTAAGTCCTTGGAGAAGTAGATGCCCTTCGTAAACATACGCCCGGTTCAGGTTACTCCTTCTCTTTTGGGATCACGCGTGTAAACCCTGCGACAGGCTAGTCTAAAGGTTACAACATAGCCTTGTGTTGGTGGGGCACTCAGAACCCTACTTGCAACAACCCATGAACCTCCGAGCACAGCTTTTGGGGCAAAAAACCCAAAACAAACCCGCAAGCCCCACCCAGGGCCTGAAGCCCCCCAAAACCTTAAACCTTGACTCCTCAACCCTAAACCCTAAGCAGAAGTTTCGGGAGCACCAAGGTCGATCTCATCTCCTTCAATGCTGCCATCAGCGCCTGCGGGCCCCTTGGGCCCATAGGCGAGTTTGGGCTGAGGGTTTAGGGTTTAGGGTTTAGGGTTTAGGGTTCGATTGGGATGACCCCGCAAAGGTTACTGGGTGTTAAGGGCCGGCATTGAGGTTTAGGGGTTACTGCCATCACTGGCCATCACGAAAGCTAAACAGACTTGGAACCAGGAGCCTGGATAATTACCAACATCAGTATCACCTCCACAGTGAAGGCATCCAAATCTGCAGAACCTTGTGTTCACCACAATATGAAACAGTTCATCTGCTTTCAGAGGCATGATTACCGCTGTGGGTTTTGTGGCTTCAGGTTCAGGGGCTTAGGGGTTTCAATTTAAGGGTTTAATGGGTCGTTAGGGTTTGCTGTTTTAAACCGAGGCGTGCAGGTGCGCACTAGAACCCTAGCTGCCACCCGAAGCACAGGAATGCCGGCTGCTGGGAGCAGGCGCTCCACCTCTTGGGCGCCCTGAGACCTCGTCGGCTTTGTCCTGACAGCGCGGCTTTGCAGGAACCGGGTTTTAGGGCTCAGGGGTTTTAGAGCTTAGTTTATTTTTATTTTTTATTTGTTTTTTGGGGGGTGGGTGTTAGGGTTTAGGTTGCCTGAAACCCTCAATACTCGATTAACAAACCCTGAGCTCTAAATCCTTCTAAACAACCAGTCTTGAGCTAGCACCGATCAAACCCTGTGAAAACCTTCACTTGGGGTTGTAAAGGGGCTTCGGCTGAGAAAAGGTTTATGCTCTTTGCCCCAAAGAGTATACTCAAGACAGGCCCTAATCACCCTTAAACCATGTTCAAACTTTCCGGAGTTTACTGTATATACTTACTGTTGGTAAGCAGGGAATGAGGGAATGAGGTAATCCCTTAAAGAGGGTACCTCATTCCCTCACTCCGGGGCTAACCAACAGAAAGTGTAGTCCTGGGTCGTCCCTGGCTGAGGTAACGAGCAATGCACTTACCAGCGCCTATGAAAAGGCGAGCCAGTGCCTTGCTCTGGGAAGGGCGGGTTTAGGGTTTAGGGTCTAGGGTCTAGGCTTTAGGGTTAGGGTTAGTGGAACCTCAAGCCCAAAGCTTCGCCTGTCTACGTAAGCTCAACAGGGCTCAGGGACCCATTGCCAGCATTCTGGGCGGAAGCCGTGTAGCACTGTGGATGTAGAAAGCACTAGCATGAACTACATCTTTTTGGCGGGCACTGCCACCGCCTGACAAGGGCTAAACGGTCTCAAAGGGCCACCGTGCAAATGCAGAAGCCCAACTCGCAGAAGGGATTGGGGTGTGGGTTTGGGGAGGGATCTACTTCTAGAACTCATTCCCCAAAAGGTCTAGGTTGAGGGGCTTTACTTCCAGACCTTAAACAAAAAATAGGTTGAGGGTTGACATGAACACGGTTCTTGAGATCGAAACGCCAAATCCCAAAGATCCACAATCCTTAGCAAGATTGGCCCTGCGAACATGCAGTATTCCTAACATGGTCCTCTTCAACCCCCCCCCCCCTATGTCCAGGGGCCTAATTCTTCATCCTTAAGGGTTTAAGGAACTAATTCTTCGGTCCCTGGAAGTATTACGGCTTTGGGTTTGTGACCATCAAGGAAACCTTCTAGGGGTACATCCATAAAGGTCCGAGTATGACTCCCTTGTTTTTGTGTTTAGTCCGTTCCCAGGTGGCAACGGGCCCTTGGCGCCCTCTCCCCAGGCAGCAACGTCGTGGCCCTTGCGGCCGCGGTGAGCGCCTGCGCCAGGGGCTGAGGTTGGCCCTGTGTGGGGCCTCTGACCGAAAGGATCCATGTACCAGAGCCCAAGAAGGGGGGGGAAGGGGGGGGGTGGGAGGGGCGACCGAAACCCTAAACCCTAAACCCTAAACCCTACAAAAAGGAGTGTGTATGTACCAAGGCCCTATCTCGGGAATGGCAACAGGCGCTCGTCCTTCTCTGTGAGCCCCTTCGGCTGCAAGCAGATGGCCGAGGGCGCTTCGAGGGATTCAGTGCTTGGGGGGAGCCCGGGCTTTGGGGGCTTGAAGAAGCTGAGGGCTCGGGCCTACAGGCATTAGTCATCTAAGGGCTGACGGTTCACAGAGGACTACAGAATGCTTTACTTCGGTATATATATATATATGTACATACATACGTAGAATGCATGTATATTTGCTTGTACGTATGTACTTGTGTTTGTACTTGTGTGTGTGTGTGTCTACACGTATTGTTTGGGTCTCCACCAACCTTGAGCCCTGCGCGCTCTTAAGGGGTACTGACTGGCGGGGTGGGGGGGGGAGGGGGCATGGTTTCCCCTTTGCCGGTTTTATCGGATCTTTCTGTAGGAATAGTGTTTTGTTTATACACACATACAGTTTAGAACCCGCACTTACCTCTGCAAGTGCTAGGCAAGTCTTTCGGTAGGTCGTCGGATGAAGGGTGTCCGACTTGGCCCCCATAACAGCCGGACAGCATTGTGAAACCAGCCAGGTTGCGTGGGCATGGGCTAACTAGCCCTCACGACGGCAGTGTCCGAAAGAAGGATCAGGAACAATAGGTCCATCCTTCAACAAGAAAGAACGACCTCGATGTTGAGGAGTTTAATGAGAACGAAGACACACCCGAATAAGAAACGGGTCTTCCTGCCAGCGCTCTGTGCAAGAAGCCCTGAACCCTGAACTCCTTATCAGGCTTCGTACACGTGCTCTTCGCAGCAACACGATCCTCTTGAACTCCTCCCTGACCGCCTGCGAGAAGGTTCGGTGAAATCTTACTTTTCCAAAGGTCGGGTTTCGTGTCCAGCAAGGATCCCCCAAGCTGCTACTTCAGAAGCTGTCCCTATCTTATGTAAAATTCCTTGAGAGATGTTCCCCCTTGTACTAACAGTCCTTAAGAGGAATTCAAGTACCCCCTATTATACTCCCTACTAGAAGACGAGAGGGAATATTGTCAAGCATTCCCCTGAAAGGTCGAGAGGGAACTCCTCGGTTTTCCATGGAGGGTGGGAGAGGTAGCTCTACATGTCTGTTGCTTTGTTGGGTTGCTGAATATCTACAGAGGCCACTCCCGACCTTGGGTTTCGCGTTTGGGTCTGTTTTTTGATTTGGGGGGTTTGGGGGGGGCATTTTCCTCCCTTAGCTTGTGCCCCCGGAGTTCTAAGCAGTAGCACTCCCCACAGGGCGAGCAATGGCAGCTCGCACTGGACCTGCTTGGAACCATGGAGAGCCTCTTGCCTGCTGGAGCAGAAGGAAGGGGAGGAAGAGGGTTTAGGGTTTAGGGTTTAGGGTTTAGGGTTTAGGGTTTAAAGGGTTTAGGGTGCAGGTTTAGGGTTCAGGGTTAGGGTTCAGGGTTCAGGGGCAGGAGAACGGGAATGGGGAATCCTCCAACCCCGGCAAACAATTTTGCTGAGATCCAATCCTGGACCATGGCGAGCGGGGGCACGGGCAACCATTAACACCAACCTAATCAACCTTCTCCGAAAAGAAGAGAGCTTCCTAGAAACCTTAGAACCCGAATTTTCAGTAACCAACTTCTCGGACGGGTTCGGGGCTTATGTTTTCGGATCTTCGGCTTTCTCTCTCCCCCCTCTCCCTCCCTCTCTCCCTTTAAAGCAGGTCTTCAATTGACTTCCTTGAATTCTTCGCCCTTGCTTTTCGACCCCCTTTCTCCCCTTGTTACCCTTGTTCCTTCCCTGGCCTCCCTGGCTTCTGTTCTCCTTCAGGTGATCCCATTCAACATTCACCGCGTGACCCCTTTTAGAATCCCGGGGTGATGGGGCACACCTAAACCCAAAACCCCAAACCGTAAACCCTAAACCCTCAACCCTGTAAGACTCTCCAGACAAAGGCTCGGGTCTTCCGAGGCCGGCCGGGCTGGGGCCAAGCTTTGCGGGGCTTGCTTTCATGGCTTTCATGGCTGTACGGTTTGGTGAGGCTTTGGGGCTTTGGAGTCTCGGGTTTCCGGCTGTAGGTGTAGTGATGTCTGTGGCTGGAGGTGGTGTAACTTCACTTTAGTGGAGGATGTTGGCAGTTAGGTTGGGGGTATGAGGCTGCAGTTTCCAAAAAGGTCTCAGCAAGCCCAAATTCAAAGACAACCTTTGCAAGGGCACGATGGCTTTTCGGAGACGTTGTCGAGCTTCAGCTGGAGAGTTCTGTCTCTAAACCGTAAACCCGGTACAAAACCCCAAACCCGGGCCCTAGACTGCTCGAAGCATGGGCCCCAACATCCATGGCTTTGGCGGCCCGAAGCTCGAAGCCCGCATGTTCCCTTCGGCCCCTTGGGAACCGAGTGGCGGTTTTAGAGCCGAAGAGCCGGAGCAAGAGGACGCGGGTCAGCTTCAACGCGGCCATCAGCGCCACCGAGAAAGGCAAAGCTTGGTTGCAGGCAGGGCCTTGCTCTGTGAGATGGCTCTGAACCTTTCTTCCCTTAAAACCAGCGCTTTGGGTTTGCAGCTGAAATCTGGGGGGGGGGGGGGGGGGGGGGGGGGTTGCGTGATCTTCTGGTTCTCGGTTTAGGGATGAACGCCAGACTCTCCAAACCCTAACACACACACCCCCCCCCAACGTGCCTTGATTCAAGGGGCTTAGTTGCCCTACTGTAGCACCACGGTTTCACCCCTCAGCAGTTGATCTGGATTGATGGACTGCGTTCCTCTTTGGTTGAATTTGGGTTTTGAGGATCGGCTCACAAGGAAGGAAACTGAAGGGCCTTAAACCATATTATGTTACGGCCCAATCTTTAAAGAGCGACCCCCCCCCCTTCAACTGTTGATCCTTACTTACAGTATTCCCCCTGTAGATGCTTGCGGGTTTTCATTTCGGTTTTTCGGCCTTAGGGATCTTGGTTATAGGGTATTTAATGGGGGGTAGGCATCTAGGGAACCCCCCCGAAGGTTAGGGAGCCTTAGGGAGTAGTGGGGAGTACCGAGGAACCTTGCTTTACCTACCCTTAAACCCTAACCCCAAACCCTGAACCCTAAACCCCCTTGGAACCCCCTTCCCTTAAAGACCCTGATGCTTCAAGGCTTGGGGATTTGCGGGGTTGAGGATCCGGAGGTGGAGTGTCTAGGGTTTAGGGTTTAGGGTTAGTGATTGGTGGCGTGAAAGGTTTTTTTGCTTTTAATTTCAAGGCCAACCCGAGGATCCGGAGGTGGAGTGTCTAGGGTTTAGGGTTTAGGGTTAGTGATTGGTGGCGTGAAAGGTTTTTTTGTTTGAAATTGCAAGGCCACCCCGAGCCCCGTATCAAACCCTAGACGGCCCCAAGATCCCTAAACAGCCCTGAGCCCGAAGAGCTATTTCCCAAGTACTGGCTTGAACCTTGAGTTCCGTAGAGCTCTGCCACCCTAAACCCTTAAGCCCTAAACCCCTAAACCCTTAAGCCCTAAACCCTAAACCCAACCCGGCGCAAAGTGGAGGCCTTCCAGCTGCTTGCGCTGCTCCAGGGGAGGAGCTTTGAGGCAGACTCGATCTCATACATTGCTGCCATCAGTGCTGCCGAGAACTCTGAGTGCACTTTCGGACAGGTAAGTTATTAAGGCTTCTGGGACTTCGAGTCTTAAAGTCCGGAAAGGAAAATCCTGGGATGTTCAGGCCTCGAACTTACCGTCATTTTCAGTAGATGTATAATTACGGAGCCTTGCTACAGCAGGGATCCACAAAGAGGGACCATCATTTCGAGACAGGCATTTTCTCCGTTCGCGTGCGTTGGCTGCTCCTAAGTGTGGGCTGCCTTGTACCCTCACCCTTAGGCTCAAAATAGCCCAAAAACCTTAAATAATATAGCCTTTGGGCCCAAAAACCCTTTAAAAAAGAGTCCTCCAAGGAGCCTTACGGAACGGGAAGCCCTCAGAACGAAAAGCCGCCAACCTCTGAAGCGTCTAGAGAAGGTTTTAGGATTTGCCCAGGACCCAGAGTGGGGCCCTGTTCCCTGTTTGTTGGGAATTAGGGTTTAGGGTTTAGGGTTACTAGGTTTCCTGATAAGCCCCTCTCAAGCAAAAAGGGCACCCTTTTTCTTCCTAGGTTACTCTTTGGTCTAGTTGTGGTTTAGGATTCCTGGCCTGAGGGTTTAGGATTGAGGGTTCGGCACCCATCTCCTAAATCCGAAGCCCAAAGGCCAGCTGTGTTAAACCCCCAAAAGAACCCCAAGCGCGTTCTAGGTGTGGGACCAGAAGCCCTGAACCCCCAAACACTGAAACCCTAGACTCCTAAATCCGCAAACGTCGCAGGTCCTAGACCCTTAAACCCCCATACGCTCGCAAACCCCTGAATCCTAAATCCCCGAAAGCACTCGACTCCTAAGCTTCCAAAACCCCCAAAATGGACATTTCCCAAAATAGGGGTGCCCCTCTTTATACCCCAAACAGAATTAGAATCCCCTTAACAGGGACCCCAGAAAGGGTACCCCTATTTTCGGAAACCCCCAAAATGAAGCCACACCCCTGTGCCGTCTCAGGAAGGGGGGCCGATGGATTTCTGCCTTGCAACTCTTGACGGAGGTGGAAGGCAGCGATCTGAAGGCGTCTCCGTGGTTGAGGAGTTTAGTAAAGGGGTCGGAAATAAATACTGATAGTATTCCCTTCTGGTCCCTATATATTTATACGACAATAACCCCCCCATATTCTACTGATTAAGGAGTAAGGCCCCTAGATATTTGAAAAAGTCAGGGCTTCTGGTGCTTTAGGGTTTGGGGTTCACAGGCTTGCGCCGGTTTCGGGCTGCGGCTTTTCAATGTTTGAACAAACAAGGTAGGAGATTCGTGAATGGTAGAGCGTTTCGGGGTTCAGACTTTATTTTTTCGTAGAGTCGTTGCAGCAGATGCCGTAGGCAACATGTTTCATCCGAATGTATAGCAAAGTTGCCCCCTGCCACGGGCTTAAAGAAGGCTACATTGGCTACCGCAACCCCGCAAAAGAAAGAGGTTGTTCTAATGGTTCAGCTGATCCTCAAAAAGGATTCATACGGCTGCGGCTATTATCCTCAAGCCTCAAGCCTCAAGCCTAAAACCAAAGCCGAGGTGGGTGTCGTGACCTACAACACCGCTTTAGCGGCCTGCAAGAAAGCCAATAGGCTGCCACAAGCCTTGCAGGTCGTGGACCCTTGGCTCCAAACCCCCCCCCTTTCCTCCCCCTGTTCAAGTCGCGTTGGGTTCAGGGTTTAGCTTGGAGGTTTTACTGGGGCGACCAATGTATCTCATGACTCATGACCGTCGTATAACCGCCAGGCTCAAGAGGCACCTATATAGATTGAGCCAACCTAAACCTCTCCCTCCCCCCTTCCCCCCCTCCCTCCCCCTGCCCGCTCCCCCCCCCTCCCCCAAACGCCGCCTTCCCCGTGTGTGTGCATGTGAGCCTCGATTTCAGCTCTTCAAGGGCCCGAACACCCAAACGAATTGTGTCGAACCTTGAGCCCTCGAGCCCTTAAAAAGCCCGTTTTCGCCCTGAAAAGCCCTTACTAGCCTTACAAACCTATACACCCCTGTACCCTGTCGACTGTAGACTTGAACCCCCCCCCCTGAGGATGATCTTCACAAGCAGCGGCTCCAGCCTGACATCATCACCATCAGCACGCTTATCGGCGATCCGTGGCAGCACCAGACCATCACTTCAGCCGGTTAGTAGCATGAGGATGCCCAGCACTCTGGTGTTCAGGGTTCAGGGTCAAGGGCCCTAAACCTAAGCCCTTGAACTCAAACCCCCGCTTGGCATGTTTTGCTGGTGGTGGTTCCCGGGGTATCTTCTTGGGGTCCTGATTACAAGGGATCCTGCTATTTGGGGATCTGTATCAGGGGTCCCTTAGTAGCATCGTAAACCCCCAACTAAAGCTTTGTGGTTCTGAGTTCAGGGCTTGGGCGTAACCACTTTGGGTTCTGAAGCCGAGAAAAGTCAAGACCCTTCCCAGTTGCGAAGCCCCAGACTGCAAAGCCCTGCTTGATGGTTCACGGGTGGTTAGAACCACGGCTATAAGTACTGTGCGGGCTGCTATACTGCTCTAAATGAGGGCAGCAGAATGTGCAATGACCAAGTTTCAGGAGTGAGAGTTTGGGTTAAGCTTTGGGGCTTAGGCTAGGGGAGCTTTGGCAGGTAGTCGATTGCAGCTTAAGCTGTCCGCAGTTCTCAATACCCCAACCCTGCCTAAACCCTTCCGCCCGAACGCTCTCCAAACTCCAAACCTCAATCCACAAGCCCCAAGTAGCCCTAAACCCTAACCCCCTCGCCCCCCCACCCCCAGTATCCCCCAATGACCCTGTCGCCCAGCTAAGGCTTGTCAGCTGAGGGATGCGCAAGCGACGAGAATTCGCTGCCTCTTGGGGAGGCTGCGGCCCTTAGCCCTTGCCTACTACGGCCGGGCCTGGGCCTGGCTGCTGGGAGAGCTTGGCCTCGGAGAAAAGTTGAAAAAAACTCATGCAAAAAACCCTTAAAACCCCTTGAAATCCCTTTAAGACCCTTCAAAGGCCTTTAACCTCTTAAAACCTCAAAACCCCTAAACCCAAGCCACACCTTGCTTAAGCCCTCAATTCAAGAGATTTGAGGGAGTTGGCGTCTTTCTGGATGGCAGGCCTAGCTTGCTTCAGGTGTTTCTTTCAGGGGGTGTGGAAAACTGAGCCCTAAACCGTAAACCTTAGACCCAACCCTAAACCCTAGCCAGCAGCTGAGGCCTGGGCCGCGACAGCAAGGGCTTCGAGAAGATGCTCGAGGAGGGCCGTAGGGCTTGTTGTTTAGGATTTGGGCCTCAGGGTTTTACATGCTAGGGCTTCATGAGGTTTTACTTCTCAAGCTTTAAGTGCACCGTTGAGGTCTTGGGGCTGCCACTGAACGACTTGAACGACTGGTATCATTGGCTTGCGGTGTATCACTTCAATTCAGGGGCTGATTCTTAGTACTGGGCTCTGAACCCCACACCCCTCTGCTGCATCCTCAGGGCCTAAACCCTACACCCCAAAACCTTATCCTAAACCGTCCACCAGGCTGCGAAGGCCAGCTACCTGCCTCCGCAGAAGACACTTGGGCCGGGGGCTTAGGAGTACCTTCGCAACGGCAGCAGTTGTTGAAAGCCTCAAATCCTGTTATAAGAGGTTAACCTTCCAAGTATAGTAAGGCAGTATAATATATGTCTAGATAGATAGATATATGTATATATATATATATATATGCTCACGTTGCCTCTAATCTCCATGCGTCCGGCGGTCGAAGCCCAAAACCCTTTATAAACCCCAAACCCAAAATCCCGAAGGGCCTCGGGGTTCGAAGGATGAACAAGGAGACACGATGGCCCCCAAAGGCATCGAAATCCTGGACCCTGCACTGCCCAAAAACTCCCCATCCTCCTACACCCTGGCAGCCCTCAAGTACCCTTTAAGATACCTTAAACACCTTTAGGGGGGTTTAGGGCTTTTTGGTCTAGGGCACACATAGGCCATGAAGAATGGCGTATTTGGGGTCCGGCTGTTTAATACTTGGAATAAGATTTAGGGTTTAGGGTTCAGGGTTTGTAGGGTTTATAGGGTTTATAGGGATTAGAGGGATTATAGGGTTTATAGGGTTTATAGGGTTTATAGGGTTAAGGTTTAGGGTTTTTTGGGCGTCATTGTCGTATATGTATATAGGGACCACATGGCAAAACCATGAGCAAATCTTCCGAATTCTAGATGAAATGTGCTGAGGGGCTCCGAGCCGGTCTTGATTCGCCGGTCGACGAGGTCCCCTGCCCAAAGCTCCTTCTTGAACATGTGGTGTTCAGCTAGGGTTTAGGGTTTAGGGTTTAGGGTTTAGGGTTTAGGGTTTAGGGTTTAGGGTTTAGGGTTTAGGGTCTAGGGTTTAGGGTTTAGGGTTTAGGGTTTAGGGTTTAGGGTTTAGGGTTTAGGGTTTAGGGTAGGAGTTCAAAAACTACGACCATCATGAGTAAGAAAGCTACCCCGCGCAGGGTTGGTTGATCGAAGTTACATGATGTCTTGTATTGGGGGGGAGTCTCCAGCAGAGTATAATCCTCAAGATTTAGGCCAGGAAACGACATATAGTTTGGATCCTTCCCCCAATTTATAAACGCTGCGTGCTGGACCATCACCACGACATCACGAACTCGACTCCGGCAGCACCCACTCGCAGCGAACCATTGGGGGCAACCACCAAGGAAAACCCAAATGAACCATCCCCACATGCTAAACCAAGATTTGCACGAACACCCGCCGCCCTCCCTAAAGTATCGCAAGTACGGCAATGGCCAGAGACAAGGAGCATCGTAGCTCAAGTCCTAAACCCTTGTGCCCCGCCCTGCGCACATAGTGCCGGATAACTCAAAGCAACCTCGCAGTTACCGGTTCCTCATGAGCCAGCTCTAAACCCAAGGCCAGTTGAACCCGAGGAGAAAACAGGCCCTAAAGTCCTAAGCCCCGAAACGCTAGGTCTTATCAGCCCTGAATGCCTAACACCTTAACCCCCCCAGCCCAGATCTCAAATTCTTGGCACCGTAAACTCCAGAAAGTTGGAACATGGTTTAAGGATGATTAGAGGTGGGATTCCCTTTAACCTTCTGGGGTATATGGGGCTTATAGTGATATGGCTGCTCCAACTTTCCAGAGCTGTAAACCCTGAACCCTAAACCCTAAACCCTGTAAACAGGCAACGCCTCGCACCCTCTGCTGTGCCACGCAGCACAGGGGCGCCAAGGACGCCAGGGCAGGCGGCCGCAAAGGGTTTGGGGTGCAGGGTTTTGGGTGGTACAGGGCCTATATTTCCAGGGTACATGTCCCTTTGCAAGGGTACATAGGTTTTCCTAGTTGGGGGGTTTAGGGACTTGAGTGTTCTTGCTTGGTTTTCGGTTGGAGTTTTTCAGCCTTTACAGGGCGGACACACTTCGGAAGCCGTCAACCGTGACAGCCGAGTCACAAGTCTGGGAGTATCTTTTGGAGTCGAGGTGGCCCGGCAATTGGGGTCCCTTTGTTGGGTTATTTTTGCGCGAAGGATTCGAGTATGTCCTGGTGGTATTTGGGGTGGGGCCTACAGCATTTGGGTGTAGGGCGTATATATATATATATGTATATTTACAGATATATTTACATTATATATATATATATGTACATATGTATATGTATATATATATATATATATATGTATATTTACATATACATATTTATATACCTGTACTAAACCCGAAGCCCTGAACCCGCAACTTGCTTGCCCAGTAGTTGAACGTTATTGAGATTCTGGGGTCTCCTAGTCAGGTTAACCGTCTTTCTCCCCGGTTGTTGGAGACGTGAGTCAAACCCAATGCCTGTTGCTTTCTGGGCTCGAGCCCGGCGCATTACCTTGCGGGCCCACGCAGCTCAACACTTTCGTCGCTCAGCTTCACAGACGTGGTCTGTTGCCAATCAGAGGAATCTTTTCATAAGAGCATTTATGGGTCCCGGAGGAGGTTCAAGGATTTAAGGTTAGGGTTGTCAAGGGCCTGCATACAGTTCAGGGTGTGGCTAAACTACGGTCCAGTGTTTGTAGGGGTTCAATGCTTTGGTTCACGGGCTTCCCATGAACCCGCTCCAAGGTCCGCCCACTGCGAAGACTACAATAGCCATGGCCGGCCGTGTTGCGCCTCATCTGAAGCTAAATTCGATGCATCCCTACGCGAATTATTCTCTCTCCCTCTCTGTAAGTATGTATGTATGTATGTATGTATTTATGCATGTATGTATGTATGAATTGAATGCATGAATATTTGAGTGTGTTTGCAATGTGTAAGAAATGTAGATTATATGTAAATATGTACATGTATATGTATATGTATGTATATATGAATATATGTGTGTGTGTATTTAAGTATTTAATGCATGCAAAGTAAGTCTGCAGTGTTTGTCATCTATGCACTGTATGAAATGCATGTAAGGTACACACTGTGTGCATTGTGGTGCATGTAATGTGGTGCAATGTATTTGATGCATGTAAGGTATGTAACTTCTCTACTCATGTATGCACTGCATGCAATTATGTATAAACCCTAAACCCTAAACCCTAAACCCTAGATGCCCTAAACCCGAACACTACGAGAACCGCAGAGGTGCTGGCTTTTTGGGGCTTCGGGGGGTCTTGGGGCATTTAGGTTCAGGGCCTTTTAGGGTTTCGGGTTTGGGTTTAGGGTTTTGGGTTTAGGGCTTATAGGGTTTAGGGCTGCTCAGATGGCTTCCCTTCCGCGAGGCTTCCGCCACCGCATTCGCCCTGTCCGCTGGCAGCTGCCTCGCTTTCGTTGCGCCAAAGGCTGAGGCGAAGCTTAGGGTCCAGGGTTAGGGTTTGAAAAAGGGACGCGACGTCAACAAATATCGTGGGAGCCATCAGCTGCAAAACCCTGCCTAGGTTTCCACAAAACCTCAAGCCTGAGCATGCCCAACAATGGTTAAGGCAAGGCCCCTTCGATTCCAAGGATGTTGAGGCCACTCCGGCAGGCGCCTCTAGAGAGACCCCCAAAGAAAGCCCAGAAGCCAGGACGGGCTATTATACCATATAACCCCTTAAAGAATGGCCCTTTATTGGGTTGAATTGTGGGGATTAGGGCCATTATACCATATAACCCCTTAAAACAAGGCCCTTTATTGGGTTGAAGTATGGGGATTGTTGGGCCGAATAGCCCATCCTCGAGGAGACTGCCTCCGCAGCTTCCCTCCGTGCCACCCCAGCGCCGGCGACATCTGTGTCTCGGCACGGCCTTCGGCTTGTGTGGCGCTGGGCCTCTGGGTTTCGGAGTGGGACTTTTGAGGGGTTTTCGCATGCCCTTGCGGCTTATTTTTGCACAAGATTCCCCAGGAGGCTATGGGCCGAAGTTAAAACTCATACGTTCGAAACCCGAAGCCTAGAGGAACCTCTAAACCCTCAAGGAGACTGCACCCAAACAAGTAAGGCAGATTTGTGTTTTCAAGGGTTTTAATAATATGGGTTATACTGCTAGGAAGGGTTTATAGGGTAAGCCTTGAAGCCCGTTGGCCGCGAAGCCTCAACTCACGGCCCGATGTCGTAAGTCGCACGGTTTGAAGTTTCCCCCCCCCCCTCTCTCCCTCGCCCTGCTTCTGCTAAAGTGGAACGGGACTCGATAATTCTTCCGAGTTAACGGCTTGTGGGCTTCCCGATAAAGTACCCAACCCAAAATAGGGTACCCTTTTTGTGAGATGGTTACTGGGGTGCCAACAAGGCATGTAGGTTACTCTAGGTAGACTTGGGGTGGTTCAGGAGGGCTTGGAGCAAGCTTTGGCGCTGAGGCACCCGTCCCGACCAGCCTGGGGGCCGCAGGTGCGGATGCGATTTAGGGTTTAGGGTTTAGGGTTTGGGGTTTCGGGTTTAGGGTTTAGTTAGGGTTTAGGGTTTCCCAGGGTTTCGAGGGTTCAGGGTTGGGGGTTCCCTCATAAGACTTCTCAATCCAAGACAAGTAGGGTTCATAAGGGCATAAGCCCCTCCCCCCACACACAGCCGGAATCTTAAGCTTTGGGGGTTTCGGGTTGAAGGTTTGGGAGCTCTAGACTACCCCGAAGTCCTAAAGTTTAGGTCAAAGGTTTCACCTGGGCTTAGGTTTAAGTTCTTTGGTTTCTGGCCTCCTAGACAGACTCGAAGCCCGCAAACCCTCACCCCCTCTACTGAACTTATCAACCCCAAAACCCCAAAACTAAACTATCAACCCTCGGCTCCCAATGCCATGCACCTCTTGGGATGTTCCCCCTTATACTAACAGTCATTACTAGGGATGTGAGTACCCCCCAATTCTAATCCCTATTTAAGGACTGTTACTATAAGGCTATAAGGGGGAACATCCCAATGCACCTCCCTAAAGCCCTCAGTAGCTTCGGCTCCCAAGGGGCCGTGGCAGCCCTCGCTGCTGGAGCCGTGGGCGCCTCGATGCGACAGAGCCGAGGCGCTGGGAGCCAGGTGGTTGAGGGCTTCAGGGCCCTAAACCCTAAACCCTAAACCCTAAACCCTAAACCCTAAACCCTAAACCCTAAACCCTAAACCCTAAACCCTAAACCCTAAACCCTAAACCCTAAACCCTAAACCCTAAACCCTAAACCCTAAACCCTACCCTTTCGGGCCCTTAAGGGTTCCTTGGGTTTGGGTGCATCGCCTGCTTCAGGATGCTCTTGAAAGCTTTCAGGTTGAGAGTTGAGGAGTTGAGGGTCTTTTTTTTTTTTTTGTTTGTCTTTGGGTTTTCGGGGGTTTAGGGTTTAGGGTTGAGGGCATTTTTGTTTTCTCAGCCCCCTCTATCAAGCCTGGCCAGCCTTGATCCAACTTAAGTCCCATCTCTACCTCCCAGCTTGGGGTTGACGGTTTCACGTGGGCATACTCTACTTTTCACAATATACATATACAGATGCATATACATACACACCTATATATATATATGTATACACGATGTATCTTGTACTGTATAGGGTGCTATGAGGTTAGGACTTTGGGTCGCAGGGAGCCTGGGATGATTTTGAGACAGACGAAGGAGCCCTGAACCCTCGACTTGCTGGGTCTTGCTCGGCGTTTAGGGGTTTAGGGTCTAGGGTCTCGGGAATTAGGGGGTTGGGACCTTCACAGAACTCCTTTTCATGGGTATCATTGCGGCAGGGCGTGTAATGGAGACCCCATTAACTCTCGCAAGTCAGCCCCAAAATGTTCCGTGCATGGCAGGTCAGTCGACTGCTCGCCGGGTGGTTGGTGTCTGCACTCCGCTGACCGACAAGTTCGACCCCCTGAACCTGGGAAGCACGGACTGACACTCCCAACACTTTGAATCTCAGCCCTTTTCCAGAAAGCCCAATACCCCTCAATGAAGGAATAGTATGCCTTATCTTCGGACCACTATGACCAGGTAAGGTATACCCCTTATTACAGACTGTTGGGCTCTATGGGCTAGCGCTGGGCCCTTGAATGCAGTTCCTTCTGTTGCTTACCAAATGTTGTGCAACCAGAAAATAGGGTAAGCATAAACAAGGAACCACAATTGAAAAGCCCAGATTGTTTAAGGGTGTTGAAAACAAGAGACTATTCAATACACAGCTCTCGGGGGTATTTTGAGCTTAAGTGTCAAACCCTGAGACCTATGCCCGAGTCAAAGAGAGCGTGAGTAGGAAAGCTTACGGTGCATGCCTTGACGATGGGGCGAAACCCGAAACCCCAAACCCCAAACCCTAACCCCTAAACCCCAAACCCTAAACCCTAAATCCTGATCCTTCGCAGGACGCCAAGATGGACCGATACACCCAGGTGGAGATCAAGCACGGCAGGCCGGTGGAAGCCCACAGCCCGTTGCTCTTCAGACCTTTTGGGGTTTGGGGTTTAGGGTTTAGGGATTTGGGTTTAGGGTTTAGGTTTAGGGTTTAGGGTTTAAGGTTTGGGGATTAATTAGGGTTTAGGGTTTAGGGCTGAGGGTTTAGGGTTTATGGGATACCCTGCCTTCGAAAGATTCTGGGGTCGATGCCTTGGTAGTTTTTTCAAGGCATATCGGGCATATATATATATATATATGGATTGCTTCAGCATTCAGGTTTTAAGTATAAGTGACAGGGGTTTTAAGGCTTAGGGTTCAAGGTGTTTTGGGCTTCGTGCGTAGGGCTTCGGGCATTTTGGGTGTTCTTATTTTTTTCTCCTGTCTGAGCTTTCTGTTGACCCTAAACCCGATAAGCCCCAAGTGGGACCCCTGCAACAGGGTGGCAATGCTTGCCACTGTCGGATACATCATGCCGGAGATCTTCCGCTTCCCGGGCTGCGAGGCTCCCCAGGGGGATTTAGTTTGGGGGGTTTAACCTCTCTCTCTCTCTCGCTTGTTTTCTGGTGTTAAGTGCATGTATAGTGTGGCTGCAGCCCTATACGCCATGAACCTGCATTTTTTCCGGTGCAGGCACTCCTCTGTTCCTTTACTACATACCCTCTCAACCCAAAAAATCCTGAGCCATACCAAAACCCAAAGCCCTAAATCCCCGGAACCCTAAACCCTAAAGCCCTAAGCCCTAAACCCCCGGAACCCTAAAACCCTAGACCCTGAGCCCCTTAAACCCTAAACCCCCTAAACCCTAAAACCCTAACACCCTAAGGCCTAAAACCCTAAACCCTAAACCCTAAACCCTAAACCCTAAACCCTAAACCCTAAACCCTAAGCGATGTAAGCCCCCTGAAGCCCCCCCAAAGCCCTGTAGGAGTTCAAGCACGGCCTGGGCGCGCTGGAGAGCATCCCAGCCGAGGGATGGTTTCAGCTCTTCGCGCTGCGCCTGGGCCAGGAAAAGGGCATTGAAGGGTTTAGGGTTCGGGGTTCAGAGTTCCGGGTCTAGGAATTAGGGTTTAGGGTTTAGGGGTAGGGGTCTGAGTGTTCAACTAAGTGCTGAGTTCTACCAGGGTTTAGGACACCGGTTTGCGTAAGTTTGCGGCCTTGATCAGGGTTTGGGTGGGGGGTTGGGGGGGGGGTGGGGGTTCAGGTTTTGGCGCTGCAGGCTTCGGCAGTTTAGCTGGTTTACCTTGCGGAGTAGGCTTACCTATAGAAACCGTTAATGACCTATAGAAACCGTTAATGATTGAACTCATTCATGAAGGTAGATTTATTTTTTTGGGAAAGTTGCGCGGGCGCAGGGTTCGGTCTGAAGGTCTCAGGAGACCGACCCTTCAGACGCGTGAGACATGACCCTCAATCCACGAAGCCCTGAGCCCTCAAACCCCTAAACCCGTAAACCTCCACACCTACAAGCCCCAAAGTTTCAATCGAACCTGTGGCTCCCCAAACCCCTAAATTCTGAGCATACCTTAGGTTGTAATAGGGGTCCTGATACGAAGCAATGACGACCCATTCTTGACTTAAGGGGTTTTGGCCAAAGCCTGAACACGATGAAGCCTAAACCCCAAACCCCGAAAACCCCCACATCAGCATAAACTTAAACCCATGAGCCCGTCCGGAGGCTTCAACATTCTAAGGGGATTATAACTGATGGCTTAAAGGTTTTAAGGGCTTTAGGGGTGTGATGGGTTTAACGGCCTGAAGGGCTTAACGGTGTTCAGGGTTTAAGGACTTTGCGGCATTAAGGGTTTATGGAATTCAAAGGGTTTCAGGGTTTTGAAGGGTTCAAGGGCTTGGGGTAGTAAGGTTTAAGGGCTTAAGGGTGCGGGGGTTAAACGGGGTAGCCTCTTTCTTCCTAAGGCACAAGGTCACCCTAGAAAGCAAGAACCTCAACCCTAAACTCCAGACTCCAAGCTCTAAGCCCTTAAAGCCTCAAAAACCCTTTACATCTCTTAGGGTTGGTGCCCACGAGATCCTGGTGAAGCCTCGCGAGGGCGGCATGGGCCCCTTGGCCTCGGAGGGCACGTGGCACGTAACCCTAAACCCTCAACACGAAACCCTAAACCGTAAACCCGAAACCCTAAGCCCCTAAGCCCCTAAGCCCCTAAGCCCCTAAGCCCCTAAGCCCCTAAACCCTAAACCGCCCTAAGCCCGATGATGTCGAGAGCATGTTCTTGTCTCTCAACAGACAAGTTCTTTCACCTTTTCCCAAGCCTTTGATCACATGGCTAGCTTCGGTTGGGGGGGCTATGAGCTTACTCGGAGGATGGCAGCTATAGCCATTAGTTGAAATTAGTTGCAACAAATCGTATGTGGGGTACTTATAGAACCTTTAGCCATGAACCTTGAAGTCGTCTATTTCTGCCACGAGGCAAAACCCAGGGGCGTAAGCAGGTGCGGAGGATTGCCCTCGCATCCCAAATGCTAGAAAAACCCTGGCCCTGAGGTCCAGAGCAGTCCCAGATCCTACGCGCCCAAAACCCCAAAGCAAGGCCCTGGACGAGACATCAAGAGAGAAAAGAGGGCTTCAATTGAGATGCCACGCATGTTCGTCCTTATCCTGATATCCAGCTCCCTAAGTCCACCCCACCAGACGCACCTGAAGTCACTGCTTTCCTGGGTAACCCCCAACTTGGGTTAAAGAGGGTGTAGGGTTTAGGGTTTAGGGTTTAGAGTTTAGGGGGGCCAAGCCAGTTGAGGCCTCTATGACTTCGGCCTGGGAACCTGGCTGCTGGATGGAATCGATGATGAGGCGAGCTGGGAGGTTCAGGGTTTTGGTCGACCATCAATCCTCTACACCAAACCCTGTACTTGTGGTATTTTATGGTTTGCATTTGGGTTCAAGGTCTAGTAAGCGTTCAGCTTCCAGGGTCCAACCCTGCCAAGACTAACGTTTAGACCCTTCTAAGGGAAATTGCCGTAACTGGGCCGTAACTGTTGCGTATCTTCCTTTCTTCTAGAAGTCTTGGTAGACTCGAACCCCTGATGTCTCTGTGGCCCTATGTGTTCGAGGTCACTCAGGTTGAGGCTCTCTTCCTGACTTGTGTATGATAGGCCTTGGGACGTTCCCACTCCACTGAGGATGTAGAACAGCATGCCGGTAGACCAGAAAGTGCGGACTTAGAAGCGCTCAGCCCGCTGCCGCGTGGGGTCTTCAAGGGAGCCATACTCGGACCCCTGAGTCTTAGAGTTCCTTAATTTCCTGCTACTAATAATAATAATAATAATACGAAGAAGAAGAATAATCATAAAGGTAGAGTCCCATGAGGTCTAGACGAACGGGTCTACATGGAGCGCAGCCTTAACGTTGAAGGCACATTCCTAAACCCATGAACCCTGAACCCTGAACCCTAAACCCTAAACCCTAAACCCCTACCCCCTGCAACAAGGAGCTGGAGCGCAGGCAGACCTCTGAGCGCAACAACGGTGGCCCGGCACACACTTCGGAAGGGGGTGGGTTTAGGGTTTAGGGTGTAGGGTTTGGGGTTAAGCATGCCGCTGGACCCTTCCAAAACCTTGTAGAGCCCATGGCCCGATCCCCCTTGCTTTAAAGTCAAGCCGAAGTCAGTGAGAACCCTATAGAGCCAATTGCTACTCTAACGTCCCTTAACCACAGGCCCCCTAAACTGTAAACGCTGCTTTACCTAAGGGTCCAATGTACCCATATAGTACATATTTGGGCCTTAAAGCTACTGTATAGGACCCCCTGTAAGGCCCAAGTATATACTGTGTGGGTACGTGGACCCTTTGGGTCTTCAAGACAGTCCAGCCAGCCCCCTAAACAAGCAACAAGGCACCCTCGGGCCCATGCTGCGGGGGGGGGGGGGGGCCTGTGAACCCTCTAGGGTTTAGGGTTTAGGGTTTAGGGTCTCACCCCAACCCCCCCCCCCCCCACACCCGAAGCCCTCAAAACAGGAAGGTTGGCTATGGTGGCCATCATGGGAATGATGTGGCAGGACCAGGGTTTCGGGGTGCATCTGTCCCGGAGACTTTAGATAAAGGTGCTTGTGTAAGTAGGCGTGGCGCCGTGAGGCTCATGTTTCGGTGGAAGGGGTGACTGGGGTGTGGGGTGGGGGGTTTGGAGTGTGGGTTCGGTGGGCCTGGTGAGGTTTGTATTCAGGACGTTGGACTTTGGAATTTATCTCAGGCCGTAATCCCTAAACCTAACCCTAAACCCAATCCCTAAACCCTAAACCCTAAACCCTAAACCCTAAACCCCAAACCCCAAACCCCAAACCCTAAACCCTCCCTGATCTCCCCAAGGTCCAGTTTGACCGTGTGGGCGTGGGGCTTTCATTTGGAGGACGGCACGTTTGGCCAGCCGCCCCTCGCTTACATGAACGTGCTCCTTGGTGGACTTAGAGGTTTGGGGTTTAGGGCTTAGGGCTAGGGTCTAGGGCTTAGGGCTTAGGGCTTCGGGCTTGGGGCTTTGGGCTTTGGGCTTAGGGCTTAGGGCTTAGGGCTTAGGGCGTAGGGCTTAGGGCTTAGGGCTTAGGGCTTGGAAAACTGAACTCCATCATAGTTTGGACAAGACATCCTAAACCCCCCTCCAATTCGGTTTCCGAAGCCGCTGAGGAATGGCTTCTGGGGTGAGCCAGTGAACTTCATCGTCCAGGACATCACAAGCCTGAATAGACCCTGGACAGCCCCCTCCTAGAAAATAGTAGTCTTGCCGGCTCCCTAAGAAGCCCGAATCCGAAAACCAAAACCCCCCAAGCCCCACGCCCTAACCCCCCCTTAAGCCCTGTGGGCCCCAAACCCCTTGCGCAGGACATCGCGAACTGCAAGGGCCAGCCCGGGCTCTGCGCGCAGAGCACCCGTGGCGAGCGAACCGCACCTTGGCCGAAGGGGGGAAGGGGGGGGGGGGTCAGTTCTATGTATAGAGAACTCTATTGAGCAAATCGACAGTTGGATAAATGTGTAGTTATATAGCTTGTGCTTTTAAATGTATTCTCGCAGTTGTTTTATGTATTTTGCTATTTGGCTTATGTTTTCTACGCATTTGTGTACATCTATTCTTTCTGTTTATTTAGGAGGGCTCGGGCTATGGTACCCTCGTGTAGAACAACTCCCCCGCTGAGCCCTGAATCCGCGTCAACAGGGCGGGCCAGCGGGTCATCAAGACATGCTGACCCATGTTCCTGAAGTATCACCCTTTCAACCATAATCCTTAAACCCTAAGCCCCAAACCCTAAACCCTAAACCCTACTCAATAGTTGAAGACATGCACCGAAAGCCCTTCTCGGTGAACTCGGAGACCTCCCCCCCCCCCCCCCCCCCCGCGGCACATGAGAATGGCGGGCTTAAGCACTCCCACCCCCCCCCCACCACCCCCTCTGAGGCGATGCGGGCCATGCAGAAGCTTGCAGAGGGTCGCTGGTCGCATCGGAGATTGGATGTGTTGCCTTGCTGTTGGAGGTTCGTGGGTAGGTTCAACAGGGGGGCTTTGTGTCGGGCAACAGGAATTCTGAGACCAATGTGACAGCTTCCCAAGAACCTTCAAGAAGGTTTTCGGTTTTGGGGTGTGCAGGGCTTCGATGCCTGAATCTCCTATCAACCGAGTCGACTTCAACTCCAGTTTCATCGTTTAGGGTTTAGGGTTTAGGGTTTAGGGTTTAGGGTTTAGGGTTTAGGGTTTAGGGTTTAGGGTTTAGGCAGGGACTTTGTGTGGGCCCAGCTTCTGAGGTGACTACGTCGAGCTTGAGACCTACCCCGAGGCGGGGGCGGGGTGAAGCTCTCGACACCCTATAGAGCCCGCCTCAAGCCTTGCCGCGCGAAGGGTTTTGAGATACTTGGTAGCTACTTGGAGGTTCATGGGTATTTATAAGTAGCGTGACAATTATGGCAGCTATACTTATAACCCTATTTAGGGTGCTTATAACCTTACTTACAATTACCCATGAACCTCCAAGTGCAGTCCGAACTGGTTCTGACATGTCTCAGCTTATTCCGTGCCAGCTACGGCTGAAACCTTCAAGCGAAGGTCAGGAACCTAAGGGCAGGGGGCCTTCATCTAGCTCCCTTCTACAATCGGATCCCGTACTGAAAGGAGCCCACAAATGCCAAAAGGCAGAGTTTTGGGGTTTTGGGCTGTCCGGGCCTCAAGGCTTCCGAGGGCTTACAGCTTGGGGATGTTAGAGGTTTTGAAAGAAAGGGCTGGGGTTTGGGGGTTAGTTCGGGGCTTAAGGCTTTTGAGCTTGGATGGTCTGTCGGGCTTGTGATAAGATAGTGGGATAGTATGTGTATACATGCGCATGCTTGCATGTGACGTTTGTTTCATACAACTAGATGTAGCACCTCCACGGGAAGACGCGACCCGGACCCTACCTAAAGCTGCGTTGGAATACACCGACGCTGCCAAGTATCTCAAGTCACTCGACGAACTCGGGGGTGCGACAACACACCAAGTGGACCAAGCGCTGTGAGCAGACTGAATAAGGCTTATCGCGGGTCTTGCGTACTCTTACGGGCTTCGACCACTTCCCTAGAGCTCCGGGGTGCGGAGTTTTCTGCCTAAGGGTTCCACAACAAACAAACACTATCCACAGAGGGCTCCCGGGTGTAGAAACACTCGGATCCCTCAGGAGATGGAGATGTCCCCATCCGTTCCCTTCCTGCGCTACCCGCAGGCAAGGCCCGAACTAGCAGTCGGAGATATGGTCTGCACAATTTAGGGCAATTTACTTAGTAGAGTGGGTAACCTTGAACCTTTTGGGGGTATTTATTCCCCATATATTCCCAAAAGTTAACCTTTAATTCCCCTAGGATACTGGACAACTACGTTTAGGGCCTCATTTGTCACATTCCCATCGGTTTGGTGTGATTCATGTATTCCATTTTGGCATTTTGGGAGTACGGTTGCCATGGTGCGGGGCTTGCCCCCGCCCCCCCTCCCAACAAAAAAATAGAATTGCGCATCGGGGTTGGAGCCAAGTGGTACCCTGTTGTCCGGATTGATATCTGTGCTTCTTCCAAAATGGCAGAAGGGTAAGATTGTTATAGCGTGCTTGCGGACCTTCGTAGGATATTAGGGTCTTGTGAATGGTGGGGGGCGGTCAGCGATAACAGTGTTGGGCTTTAGAGTCTCATGGTTTCGGGATTAGGGTTTAGGGCTTAGGGGACAGATTTCCCTTCCTGTGGAAGGAATCCTGGTAAACTAACCCCAAATACCCCAAACCCTGACTACCCCTAATTGGCTTCAAGGCCACAGTGCCATCTGGTTGCCGTAGTCTTGATGACTGCCGCCCATTTCCGCACCCTAGCCAGCCCCAAAGCCTTAGAAGCCAGGGAGCAAAGACGCCCTTCAAACCCTACAGCCCTACAGCCCCTTGCCCCGAACCCTGAGCTCCCAAGCCCGCTCCCCATCCTGTGGACGCGCAGGTCCTCAAGGGCTGGGTTGGCGAGGAGAAGGGCTTCGACCCGCTGGGCGTCACGGATGCGCTGCCGGTGTACTGGGTCCGCGAGGCGCCAGAAAGCCAGAAGGGAGGAGGGATGGGGGGTGGTGCGGGGTGGTGGGGGGTGGTGGGGGGTGGAGGGGGGTGGAGGGGGGTGGGGGGGGGTGAGGGGGGTTATAGGGCTTGGGGTGTAGCATTTATCTCTTGAGGATGTACTTTGGCCGAAGATTTGGGAACGTGACAAGCTTACGCCAAACCCAAATTCACACCATATGATTGAGTGCTTGGCCAATACGGCTGCTGGCCCTCAGGGCGATCGGACTTAGCTTGGATTCAGGGGCGAAGGGCTCCAAGGCCTCAACGCAAAGCGTTTCAGGACAGCCCCAAAGGCTTTGAGCTTTTTCCAACATGGTTCTGCATGACATGGAGACTAAGACAGCACCCTCGCAGAGAGAGTTGATGCATGCATGAAGTTCAGTTCTGAAGCATCAGCTCGCTCGTCTTTTGTGCAAAAGCTTCAGACGAAATGATAATCGGAAGCAACTCTTCTGCACTAGCACATCTCGCCTGAGACAGAGTTGTATTAAAGTTTGGGGGGATACAATTCGGCATGCAATCAGGTGACCTAAATCCTGAAACTCAAAGACATGGTAACGGCTGCAATTGCTCCCGTTGATTTGCATCTGGATGTCAAGGTTGTTTTAAAGCGATGTAGCCAAGAGTCGAGTTTTTTACGCAATTCTACATGTTGAGGTGTGCTTTTTGGGGAGCGTAAAACGTGTGCGGGGTCTCAAAATTTAAAATATGGCCTCTGAGTAGCGGTTTTCCAGGTTTTCACCACATCTCACCGGGGCCGGCAACCCAAAACGTTACTTCAGGAGTACTTCAGGGTTGGTTTGTTGATGATTTCATTGAACCTCCTAAACCTTGAAGCTCAAACCTCAAGACCCGAAACCGTTAACCTCCTAAACCCCTCAACTCTCAACTCCCCGGCATACATATGTATATATGTATATAATATTGTGTTAATACAGTATGATGCATTAGTAACACGGACGTTATCATCGTGCGGGCATGGATGCTTCGGCCACTCGCACGCACTGGTACCACGGACGTTATCATCGTGCGGGCAGGGATGCTCTGGCCACTCGCACACACTGGTTCCACTAGAAAAGCGTTTTAGCAGGAGTGACTCGTGGCGCTTTCACCAAAAACATCCTGGCGCCGTCGATCAGAGCCTGAGGGCAGGGCTCTCCTGCCGAAACGCTACGTGTTTACGGGTCAGCTCCCAATTTTGCAAACCTTCTGGCCAGCATGGGTTCGAGATCCTAACTCAACAACTTGCGGCCCCCAAGCCCCAACCACAGCGTGAAATGGGGGCTTGTTCTAATTCTTGGGTCCGTTTCGGTACCCTAAATGAGACGAAGTATGCATGCCACGCAAAAGACCCAACAACAAGCTGACATATTTTTCCCAGCCCCAAAAAACCGCAAAAGCCACAAAACCTTGAACACCCTACATGCGAAAACCTGAAACCCTAAAACCCGAAAACCCTAGAAAACCCAAATCCCCTGAATCTTGAGCATCCAGTGGCCTCTTGCACCAGGCAGAGCTGAAGCATGGTCGAATCGCCATGCTGGCCACGGTAGGCTGGAAGATTCCATTGTAGAGCTTAGGGTTCAGGGTGTAGGGTTAGGGTTTAGGGTTACGGTTAGGGTTTATGCTGGCCACGGTAGGCTGGAAGATTCCGGCCTTGTACAGGTTAGAGTACAGGTTAGAGTTTAGGGCCGATAGGGGGGGGGGAGTCGGTTACTTGTTAGCCCTGAACGCCCTTGATCAAACAGCACATGACTATGTACGCGCACCAGGACGTGCCCACACACACACACAGACACACAGACACACACACACACACACACCCACAGAGATTATATAGACATATATATATATATGTATATATGTATATATGTATATATGCAAATATGTATATATGTATATATGTATAAATGTATATATGTATATATGTATATATGTATATATGTATATATGTATATACACATACATATTGCTGCTACCCCCGGATGTACCGGGCTAAGTTAGTACAACACCTTTCACACACACAAGCTTATAGGGAAGGGTGCAGGAGTTTTCGGCTGTAAAATACGCAACGACTACAGTAAATGGATATGTATATATATATATATATACATACATACATGTATATATATATACAGATATATGCGCCCGCAATGTTTAGGTTCTATTTTGTCTTGAGATTTTCTTTGCTTCTTCAAAGACCTAACATGCATAGTGAATTTAAATATACGCCTATGTTTATGTACACGTGGCTGACACTTTCAAGGTTCTGCGAGCTTTGTTCTTAATTATGTTTAGGATTTAGGATTTTTCCTGATTGATTTTATGTTTCTTTACTCATTCAAAGGTGGCACAAGCCGTAGAATGGTTTTGACAGACTCATTGATTTCATATGCGTTTGCTTTTTGGCGTTATGGTTTTTTACTCATTCATGCGTGGCACCAGCCACAAAATTCTCTACCCCGAGAGATTGTATAAATAAATTGACTTGCTTTTTAGATGAATCATTGATTTCATATGTGGTTGCTTAAAGGTTCGAAAGTCTTCTACTCATTCACAGTTGGCAGAAACAGCAGAATTCTCTGCATCAGGAGATTCTATAAGTAAATTGGCTGGGTTCTTGCAACGCTCATTGATTTCATATGTGCTTGCTTGCTGATTTTATGTGTTTTTATCCTTCAGACATGGCACGAGCCACATAATTCGTTTACGCCGGGAAATTTTGTAAACAAATTGACTCGGTTTGTAGAGCCCTTCTTGATTTCATCCACGGTTGCTTATTGATTCTAAGGCCTGGCACTCGTTCAGACAAGATCCAGAGATAGAGTTCTTTACACCAGGGGGTTCTAAGTTTGTTACTTGGGACACTTCTTGATTTCACATGCGTTTGCTTTTTGGTGTTATGGTTTTTTACTCATTCATGCGTGGCACCAGCCACAAAATTCTCTGCCCCGAGAGATTGTATAAATAAATTGACTTGCTTTTTAGAAGAATCATTGATTTTATATGTGGTTGCTTAAAGATTTGAAAGTCTTCTACTCATTTACAGTTGGCAGAAACAGGAGAATTGTTTATATCAGGAGATTATATATGTAAATTGGCTGGGTTCTTGTAACACTTATTGATTTCAAATGTTCTTGCTTGCTGATTGTATGTGTTTTTATCTTTTAGACATGGCACGAGCTACACAATTCTTTGACACCCGGAAATTTTGTAAACAAGCTGCGCCACCAGGGACAGGGAGAAGTGCCTGTGAGAGCCTTTGTTGAGCAAGTGATCTACTGCCTCATCCCCCGCTGGGGGAGGGGGAGTTCGCGACTGCAATATTTCAGCCCCCAACCTCCCCCCCACAAAACTGCCTCTAAGGTCGGTGAGGGTGGAATTTGGTGGCTGGCGGCGGCACCGCCCAGCCACCTCGAGCTGGAACCGGCACTGCAGAACCGTATCCGTGGCCTGGTGCATGGCGAGAGACCTGCCCCCCCCCCCCCCCCTGCACGCCCTTGCTCTTAGGTCAAGAAGGCCCGACAGCGGCTGAGGCGTGCCTTTGCCTGTTTCTATTACGATGAACCACCCCAAAGGGCTGCGTGGCGTTCATCTCGGGATCAGGGAGAAGCGCCTGCGAGGCCGCCCAAAAAAGCACCAAGGGCTCCCTTTTTCCATTACGATGAACCGCCCCAAAGGACTGCCAGCCCAGAGGACCCTTCAGGGGAGCTTCTTACCCGAGCCCTTGGCGCGTGCATGCTCAGCGTACGTTCACGTTGCGGCCGTAATTTGGTTCCCAGGTTCGGAGGTCGAGAGATTTCCGGTTCAGGGCTTTAAGGGATAGGGGTTTTGGGGTTCAGTTCAGGGTGTAGGGATTTGGGAGTGTAGGGGTTTGGGGGTTTAGGGGGCTTCGGCTACTTGGCAGCTTGTGGACCAATTTGGGTCATCTCCCCCGCCAGATATGAGGGGGCCGCCCGTGCGCGCCACGTACTTACGCTTTTTTGAACTATTAGGGTTATTCAAATCGCTCAATCTAATTTAGTTGGCTTCTTTGAAAGTAGTTGAATTATTTGAATTCTTTGAACTAATTGTACATAATTCAAATGATTCAAATATTCAAACTCCAAAAATGAACAGGAGCCAATTGAATTATTTGAAATTTTGCATTATTTGAATTATTAACATAATTCAAACAATGTATGTATTTAACTCAAAAGGCGCTACTTGACTTATTTGAATTATTGAAACTGTTTGAATTATTTGAAGACTTCAAATAACTCAAAAAGCTTTGTTGGCTTCCTTTTAAAAGTTCTTGAAATGTTTGAAATCATTGAGTTATGTAAGTACTTCAAAAGTTCAAAAATATGAATAATTCAAAAACTCAATTGCTTCTGTCAAAGTAGTGAAGCTTTTAATGATATAAAGTATTAAGTTTCTGTGAATAGAATTGTTAGAACTAATTTCAAATAATTGATTTTTTGCTCTAGCCAAAATTGCTTGAGTTCGTCTAATTTTCGAATAGTTCCAACATTCACATATTCGAAGAATTCAAACAAATCAATTGGCTCCTTTTCAATTAAGTACATTATTTGAAGTATTTGAATTATTTGAATTCATCAAAGAAGTAGAATAGATCAAATATGTCGAATAAGTTAAATAATTAAAGTTCAAATATTCTAAAGAAGCCAATTGAAGTATTTGAGTTATTTGAATAGTTTAAATGTGTTAAAAAACTCACTTGGAATGAAAGGAGTCAATTCAAAGCCTAAACACCAAGCCCGAAGTCATCCAGGGTTCGGGCTTTGGATCGTGGGGCTTGCAACCCTGAAGCCCCAGAGCCGTTTATTTCGGTTCGGGATCAATCCTGAAGCCCTAAAGCCCCAAAGCTCCAAAACACTATAACTCCAAACCTGAAAACCCTAAGAACCTAGATCACCATGTCCTAAACCGAAAAAAAAGATTGCAGAGGGAACTTTAGGGGTCACAAGGCTTGGGAGGCTCAGGTGAAAATAAGCTGGGGTATCCCCTTGTTCAGGGTTTGGGACTGAAGGTCCTAGTTTCACCAAACATGGGCCTAAACCCTAAACCCTAAGACCCCTAAAAAACCTAAAAACCCTAAAAACCTTAAAACCCAAACCCTAAGCCATGAGCAGGATGGATCGCCACGGACCTCGGCTTCCGCTTCCCGGGCGACAAATTCCAAGCTGTGAAGAGCTCTGTTGAGGCCTGGCAGGTTCGGGGGGGGCTAGGGTTTAGGGTGTAGGGTTTAGGGCTTAGGGTTTAGGGTTTAAAGGGCTCAAAGGGTTTGCACGGTTGCCTTGGAACTTACTTGTTAGTTGGTCACTTCTTTTGCAAGAGGCCATAAAGAGGTTCAAGCGTTAACGGCGTTCGAAGGACAGCATTGGAATCCGCAAGGCCTCCAGATGCGGGGGCCCCCATTCCTAAAGACTCCTGGGGGCTTCCTTTGGGGCTTAATCTAAGGGTAGTTTCATGGGCCCTTGATATGGTCCCTAACCTCCTTGAAAGGGTTTTGATGTATGTGCCCTTAGTTTGTATAGGGTACGTAAGGGCAGTGTAAGGGCTCTTCCCCTTTTAAGGGCCCATACTAAGGGACCATGCAACTACCCTTAGACTTAGGGGGTTGGGTTTAGGGGTTTAGGGTTTAGGCTTTAGAGTTTAGGGTTAGGGTTTAGGGTTCAGGGTTTGGGGTTGAGTTGCTCATCGGCAGAGTTTTATGGCGCTTTTCGATCTCAACACGCTGCAGGGTGGGTGGGCCCGCCGCAACACAAATCCAGAGCTGGCCTGGTTGGGGTGTAGCTTTTTTTTTGGGGTAGCAGACGAAATTCTGTTGGAACCAGCCATGGGGTTAGGGCTCAGGGCTTCGCAGTTCATCACAACCTCAGGAAATGTCATCCCCATGCATGCGCACCTGCCATCATCCAGGCCCTCACGGACCCCGAAGCTTCAAGCATTCAGCGTATTTAGAAGGCCACAAACCAGGCCTCGAGAATTAAGACCGTAAAGCCCCAAGTGACAAGGCCCACGACAAGATGGTGGAGGCAGGCTACATGCTGCTTGGCCTTATGAGTGTGAAGCGCTGAAGGGCTCCTCAGGAAAAACTATTTCTAGCAGGAGGCGTTTTGGGGTCAGGAGGGGAACCTTGTCATTCGCCAAGCCCTCGCACTACGCAGTTTCTGCTTTAGGAGTGACCATGGATCCAGTGGGAGGCTTTGGGGTCCGGAGATACAAATTTACGACATCGCCAGCACCCCCCCCTCCCACGCCCGAAGGCTGAAGGCCTCAAAGCACCCCAAGCCCGCCCCTCCAAACTCTATCAACAGCACACTATCCTATACTACATACACTATACTCTACTGTACGATGCAATACCAGCAATTCACTATGCTTTACACTCTGCTAGACACTATACTCCACGCTGTAATACTCCCTCGACTACTGTAATTATTATTCAATGCTACATTTTTCATGCACCTATGCTACACTCTACAATGCTATACTGTACTATGACTATGTTTTACGAGACTATGCTGCGCTGCACGATGCCGTACGTCACCACGGTCTATTTTAGTTTCCATTCTCGTTCGAACTCTATATAGTGAAGTTTCTACTCCTCTCTTCTTCTGTTCAACTTGTGCCCTGAATCTGCAACCCAAAGCCCAGCCCCCCCCCCCCTAAAGCCTCAACACTAAACCCTAAACCCTAAACCCTAAACCCTAAACCCTACACCCCTAAAAAAACGATCCCAGGCTTCCTTTCTTCGGGGCCATTGGCGTCTTCGAGCTCTTCGCCGCGGCGGTGGCAAATCAGCGGGGCAGAGCTTAGGTCCGCTATAGGGAGTATCGGAGGTTTCGGGCCCTGGCGAAGGGAGACCTTAGGGTTTAGGGTGTCGGGTTTAGGGCACCACGTTAAAGTGGGCCAGCGCCTCCTTAGGCCGCAGTGGGAAGTTAGGGTCCATGCTTGGACTCCCAGTCTACAAAAGTGCTCCCGAAAATTCGAGGCACTTGTTTTGGGGAGGAGGGTCGGGGGGGGGGGGGGGGGGGGGGGGGGGGGTGAGGGAGGGGGGCTTGTTTTGATAGGTCCAACACGTGCCTACCTTGAAGTTTGGGGAGCCCACCCCCTCTCACACCCTGTAAACCGAAAAGCTGGAAAACCCTGAACTGGTGTAGGTCTTCGAGAGGGGGTCAGCCTGAGAAGCCATCGAAAGCGGCGTCCACCAGGTTCACGAAAGCACAGCCAAGGTTTGCAGGGCGGTAGAAGTCGCAGGGCAGCAGCGCCCGGCAATGGCATGCTAATCCAATCAAGTATGTGTAGGGCTAGGACGCCTGGACTGCCTCAACCCTAAACCCATATCAAGAACTTCCCATTCAAGTTCCGAAAGCCAAAGCATGAGGCCCTCTGGCTTTTGTTCCAAGCCTGGCCCGTTGGCGATGCGACTTCGACTGTCAATGGTGGGCCTAACTCAAGATGTAAGGTGTACGGGGGATAGGAGGATTGAGTTTCTGGATGTGGGCGTCCAAGGAAGTTGGGGTCGAGGGGTTGAAGGACTAAGTCAGGAAGCTCTCACAAAACTCGGTTTGGTTGGGAGGACAGTGCAGTCGCCCCGGATAGCCTATGGAAATTCTAGAGCCATGGGCCTTATTCTTCGATCCAAGGATGGATAGGCAGGTAGATACCCAGAGAGCCCAATACTCCTTCATTCAAGAATAATCCTTGAACTATACTCCAGCATGTTCCCTAATGAAGGGGTATTGGGCATCATCGGGCTCTCTCGTTGTGCGACGCCCGTAAACTGTTCGAATTGCAACAGGGGGGCCGTGAGGCCAGAACCATACCCGCTGATGCTCATGATGCTCGCGTCCTGGCTCGTTAACCCAATCACTGAAGCAGTTTGTTCTGCAAGCGTCTGGGGCTTAGGGGCCGCGTGATAGGAGCTGGCAGGGGCGTCGCCCCCTGCATGCTCGCTGCTGCTCACCGCAGCGCCGGCAGCGCGCTTTAGTTTCGGGGGTTAAGGTTAAGGGTTTAATGGTTTAAGGGTTTAAGGGTTTACGGGTTGAGAAAGGGTTTACGGGCTTAGTGGTTCAGGGTTCAGGATTTATGGTTTAGGGTTTCAGGTGTACGGTAGAGTTTACGGTAGGTTTTAGAATCGTGCCCAGCTGACGCTCATGATTCTCGCCTCCTGGCTCGTCAAACGGCCCCAATCGCTGGGGCTAGGGCTTAGGGTCTGTTTGGGGTTCTAAGTGTCGAAGGTTTCGGCGGGGCAGGTTGACACCTTGAACGCGCAAACTGTAGATTGGGCGACGAGTGCGGCGTTAGAATGCAGTTTGGCTAGTTATCATGCTCACTCAAGGCTGTGAGGCGGCTAGCTGAGGTTGAAACGGCCGTAGTGCAAGTGTTCCCTGCCTTTCTTCATAATATCACTTCCAAGCTAGTCACACCGCTTGAAAAAGTCTTCCCTTGTTGAACTTAGTATGAGAGACCTGACACCCCAAACCCTTAGGAAAATATCCGGGAAGCCGAATCCTGTGCAGGGCATCAACCGAGAAGCTGGAGACTTCTGGCTGGGCAAGAACTTCCTGCCCAAGGACCTCAAGGGTTTAAGGGCTTTTAGGGCTTTTTAACGTTGAAAAACCCTGAATCTCCTGCCCAAGGACCTCATGGGTTTAAGGGCTTAAGGGCATACGGATTTCGGGTATCCCTAAACCCCCAAAACCCTCAACATTCTTAAGCCCTGAAAGTCCTTAAGCCGTTCAAGGGCGTGAAGGGCTTTAAGGGCTTTAAGGGCTTTAAGGGTTTTAAGGGCTTTAAGGGCTTTAAGGGCTTAAGGGTTCAAGGGCAACGGGGGTTTTGGAATCCCCGCTCCTCTGGGGTGGAAACACGCAGGAAGCCCTACAATACCTCCGAACGTTAGTGGAGGGATTCGGGTTTCGGGTTTAGGGTGTAGGGTTTAGGGTTTAGGGACTAGGGATTAGGGTTTGGGGTGTCTAAGTTTAGGGTCGAAAGGATAGGATAGGTCTATAGGTTTAGGTTTTCTGGCTTTATAAGAATATGAGTCTTGGGTTTTGTTTGGGCTTTGTAAGTTTAGGGCTGTGCGGGCCCTGGACCCCGAAGTCCGCCACTTCCGCATGGTGGTTTCCCAACGAAGTTGGTGCTCCTTTTGGTTGTTCCTGTTAAGAAGGTTTAGGGTGTTTTGGCGGGGGGGGGGCTCATGAACGGGACCCCTTACTTGGGGTAATGCCCAGGTAAACCACAAATCCTGAGCCGAAATCCCAAAACACTTTTTTCAATTCTGAAGCGTGAAGGGCCAGCAAGACATCGAAGCCCCTGGAAACGATGACACACACGGAGTAGTGCTTATCCTCTTCTTCTTCCGAAAACCTTCTTCGCCCCAAGAGAACAAGGGCTTGGGGTTTCGGATTTCCGGTCTCGAGGCATTTCCTGAACTAGGCTAAACCCGAAACCCTAAACCCTAAACCCTAAACCTTAAACCTCAAACCAATATAGGGGTCCATGGGCTTGGGGTTCATGGGGCCATAGAGCCCAGGCCTCAGCCGAAAGCAAGAGGCCCCAGCCGGCAAAGGACAGAAGCCAAAGCCCTCAGCCTGAGCCTGAAGCCTGAAACCGATAGCCCTGTCTGGGTATGGGGTTTAGGGCCTTAGGGTCTTGGGTGAAGTTTAGGGCTTGGGGCTTAGGGTTTTAGGGTTTAAATTTAGGGTTTGCGGGTTTAACGGTTTAGGGTTTTGCTTTCGGGTTTGTGGTTCAGGGTTGAGGGATAAGTTGGTCCAGCAAGGGTACGCAGCCTTGGCATCCGTCAAAAATCCCGCCGCGACAGGAGCCCGCAAAGGAGAAGGACATGCGCTTGAAGGACCCCCTGCTCGCCCCTAAGCCCTCCCTACCTGAGTCCCTTCAATGTAGTGTCATGTTTCGTGTGTATATACGTAGTTTTCATGGTTCGTCTAAGTTGAGAAGAAGGTTCGGCACCCAAGACAGGAACTGCAATGTAGGGTCCAGGGAGACACTAACCGCTTCACCCTCCGCCCTGTAGTTAGGCGATCAGGGGTTCAGGCTTAGGACCCTGAGCCCTATCGGTCTGATCACCTCAGAGGGAGGGTTTCGGTGTGGTCTTGCGGTTTTGCTTCGGCCCTTCAGGCAACTTCCGGGTTTGTGGCTTGGGTTTCAGGTTGAGGCTAGGGTTTAGGACTTCGGGATTATGAGTGTTTGGTATAGGGTTTTCAGTAGCCTTCTTGGGCGCTGGCATCTGCATTGCCATGTGCGAGTCCATGAAAAGCTTCTTGTGTAGCCTAAACCCTAAAACAACAAAACCACAAACCCAAAACCCCAAACCTGACGTCCTCAGGGTAACCCAGCATTTGCGGCTAAATGCCGAGCCAGCGCCACGCGTCCTCAGCAGTGGGTTCAGGGCATCTGGAGAGTGGGGGTCCAGGGTTCAAGGTTTATTTTGTTTCCGCATGTGTATGTGATACCCTAAGCCCTATCCCTTCAAGCACACGGCTTAGTTTCTCAAAGGAGCTCGAGAATGGTCGTCTGGCCATGTTTGCCTTCAGCGGCATCGTCACTCAGGCAACAGGGCGTAGGGTTTTGTGTTTTGGGGTTTAGGGTTCAGGTTCAGGAACGTAGCAAAGCAGAGACCCCAGCAGCACAGGCAGCAAGGTTCCTGCAGCTTCGCCCCTAAACCCTAGGCCTCATAATTATAACACCAGCCGGCACACTGCTACGTGCATTGCATAACAATTTAAAGTGCCCCGATGTTATCTACTCTTGTGCTGCGAATTTGCCTAGGGCTTATTTTAGGTTATGTTGTGTGTGTGATTGGTTTAGGCTTCAGGGCTTGCGTTTTTCTACTTGGTGGCGTTGGTTAGTGGATCGTTTTTTCGCGGAGGGCTGCCTCCCTTGGCGGATCCAGAGTAGGTCGCTGAGGGCGTCGGGTGGTTGTGGAGCCTTTGGTTCTTCGATTGGGTGCGTTCTGCAAAGTCAGAGCCTCACCGCTGCTGCTTTCGCGGATGGTAAACTTAGGGCGCTACAAATGGGAGGGCCTCTCCACCACCCCTCCCTGTCCACACAACCCTCGCCTCAGCCCCTTATTCTGCACCTTTTAAAGGCCTCATCTGCCCTTAGTCAGATGATTCGGTGGGCCCTCTCGTTTACTTTTCGCTTACTGCGTTCCAGAGAAGCTCAATTAGGGATAGCTGTCATTAAAGGTCTTATCAGGCCAGGCCGACCTATGACACAAAAGTGTTCCGAAACGGCAAAGTAGCCTGGAGAACTGCCACATCGAAGGCTGAAGTTCCCTGGCTCCTAGTTTCTTCGGGATTGTTTCTTCTTCGCAAGAGTCTCCGCCGGGCTTAGGCTAAGCTTAGGGTGGTCGACGGTTTAGGGTTTATGGTTTAGGGTTTAGGGTTTAGGGTTTAGGGTTCAGGGTACGGTACCTGCAAGACCGAGACCATGAGTCAGGAGACATGTCAGCCTTTACAGCAACCCAGAAGAGCAAGAGAGCGAGGTGAGCTGAGAATGCCTTTCATAGACAGGTTTAGGGTTTAGGGTTTAGTGTTTAGGGTTTAGGATTTAGGGTTTAGGGTTTTCCAACTCTGGAGCTTGCTGCCTTGCTAGGCGGTCATCACTGGCAAGACTTGGCCCTTCTTCGACTAGAAGCCGTCGTGTCACGCCACGGCTGACTAGGCGGAGGGGATTTAAGGTTTGGGGTTGATGTTGGACTCTGAGGTTTGGGGTGTTTGGGGTTTAGGGCTTAGGGCCATTAAGACTGAGCAGGATGTGAGGCTTAGGGACGAGGAAGATCGACGAGACCAGCAATCTACAGAGCTGGTCGTTTCAGAGCTGAGCACAGGTCCTTATCATCAATAGTTTAGGGTTTAGGGTCTTTACCCTCAAAACGCCCTGAAGTTCGTGTGGTGGGGTTGATCGACCACGCACCCCTGCAAGGAGGCCGCCCCGAACCGGGGGTCCGAGCCACTGCTATGACTGCTGAGCAGAGCAGAGCGGCGCTAGGCCAGAGGCGCAGCGAGGACGAATCCATACTGTCAGGGAAACACCCTAAAACCCTAAATCCTAATAAGCCCAAGCCTGGGTTTGGTGTTCTCATGGTGGCCTGAGTGCGGTCCTTTCAAGTTGGGTGCACTGGCTTTCTGCGTTTTTGGCATTTGCATCTTAGGGGCTAGTAAGGGGTGGTCTCCCTTTTCGAGGGGAGTTTGCCCTTAGTTGCGGTTTTGGGGTTGGGACTCTCAAGACCCTAGACCCTACAGTCCCTCATCAACGTGCAAGAGACCGATAGTCACCGCGCTGCGCTTCGACCTAAGAAGTTCCCAGAAACTAGCGTCGGACCTACTCCCTCCCTCTCCCCCAACCCGTACATCAGCAAAGTTATCAACCCTAGCCCCTAAACCCTAAACCCTAAACCCTAGCCCCTCAACCCTAGAACTTAGAGCCCGAAGCCGTGGCTTTTTTGACAGAGGCCTCTGAAGAAAGGCAACGCCCGGTGGACACAAAAAAAGAGACAAGAAGCACGTCTGGGATCGAGGGTCGAGGGTTTCCCCCACAAACCCTAGGCCCCACTTGGAGGTTCATGGCACTTAAGAATGTACTTATGACCCAATTATAACCATGTCGGGGCACTTGAAGGGCTTTTAAGTGGGTTATAAGTAACCTTACAGCAAGGCAAAGCCCACTCATCCCTTGTGTTAACCATGCTCAACTCTCTAAACTATGGTCCCTTTTTGGGGTTCCCTGAATAAGAGGGGCCACGTTACAAAAAGGACCCCACAAGAGACCATATTTTAGAGAAGTGGCCAGATGTTTGTTTTCCCTTCTTGGGTCTTAACAGGATCTTGTTCTCGAATAATGTTCCCAGGCTTGTGCAGGCCATCCTAGTTCGGTTTTATGGTTTAGTGTTGAAGAGCTCTGGGGTTTGAGGTTGAGGGTTTTGACAGTGCCACAGCTTGCTCGCGGAAGTAGGGTCTTTGTGCTGTCCGAAAACCCGAGAGCCTGAGCCTAACAGCTCAAACCCAAACACTAACATCTAAACTGAATCCCAAGTAACCCCTAAAGCCCAGAACCTATAAACCTCCCCGAGCCCTAAACCCCAAACCATGTTGCCGTTGACGCAAAGCTTCGAGGGCGATAGGCCCGCCACCTTACGCCTCCCTGGCTTCGCGGGGGCATTAATTTAGGAGCAAGAATGAGTGTGAGGAGCTTGTTGAGTATCAGGGCTGCCTTTGTGGGATGTGTAATTATGTGCGCCGCACGAAAAGGACCTATGCCTGAGCCCCAAAGTCTAACGCCTGCCGCGAGGCGAAGGTGCCAGAAGAGGTTGATGTGGTGGCCAAAGAGGCAGAAGGGCATAGAGGATTCAGGGCTTTAGGGTTTTGAGTTTAAAAGCATCATGGAGTCCAAGTGGTACCCTTTACCCTTTTTGGGTTTTGGGTTTCCTGATAAAAATTACCGGTAGCATTATTGTGGGTACTGAGCTACTCAGTAAGGGTTCGTTTGCCTTTTCTGGAACAGGTTTGATTTTAGCAGCTTTGCATGAAGCTTAGCCCTAAACCCCCTACATCAGGTTCCGCTAGGACCCCTTTTGAAGTGCAAGGTAGCTGTAAGGGGATCCTTCTTTAGACCAAGTCCCCACCCACCCACCGAAACCCGACACCCAAATGGCCTAAACCTTAAACCCTACCAGCCGGAGACGCGCCTGCTGAGGGGGGCCGCGACCCCCCACGCGGACTCATTGTTTGCAAAGACCAGAAAGCCTTGGCAGGAGCCCGCTGCTACCGAGAGCCGACCTCAGCAGAAACCACGGCTCTGCGAACGGGACAGATACTTTTAGACATTTAAGTAAAGTCTTGAAGTTGAGGGCTTTTAAGGTTCAGGTTGCAGGTGCAGGGTTAGGGTTCGGGACTTTGGGTTTATGGGTTTGGGCTCTCGTGAAGTATAGGGTCTAGGGCAACCCCCCACCCCCCCTCCCCCCCCACCCCTTCTTTTCTTGCCATGGCTTCTGGTTCTGGCCGGAGACATCCACGTGCTCCCTCAAGAAGGCTGTAGGTAGGTAGTGGCGCTTTGGACTCTTTAGATTGCAGGCTTGAGGGTTTGGGACAGACCAGAAAAAGCCCTCCAAAGCCAGAGGTTTAGGCTTTAGGGCTTGATGATAAGGCTTACGGGGTCTCGCCTTGGGATACCTCACATGTTGGCCCTTATTGTGTTTAAGTCTTGTGCAAACCTGGCTCTGAAGAGCCCAAGGTCAGGAGGACCGGTCAAGGGTTTCAGGGTGTAAGGGTTCAGGTTTAGGGTCTAGGATTTAGTGTTCAGGGTTTATGGCTTCGGGTGATGTAGGTGTGAAGGTTTAGCGTTACCCCGCCCTAAGCCCGTGCCTGACAAACAGGCATCCAGGTATTCCTTCATGCCACGATGCCCCCAAAACCTGGCTGCGAAAACGCGTGCCCCTAAATCACGAAGCCCGACCTAGAGTAATATAGGGGTCGGAATGACTACTATTAATATTTCCTTAGTGCTCCTTTATATTTCCTATAATAACCCCAAGAGCCCTATGTTAATTATTCAGGCCCCGATATTAGCCTTGTTCCCTCAATGAAAGAACGAAACCTTTGTAGCTCTTGCATGTCAGCCCGGATTTTGTTCTGGGTTTCTGTAACCTCACCATGTCAATGTCCTTGCACCCTAAACCCTAACCTAAACCCGAAACCCTAAACCCTAAACCCTACGTGACGAGGCTTCCATCTACGCCCGAGGTGAGCTTCCCAGGCTGGAGAGACTGCCACTGAGCCCATATGGTCACTTCTCTAAACGATGGTCCCTTGTTGAGGTTACTAGTATAAGGCGACCCATGATATTTAGGGTACCTTGGGATGTTCCCCCTTATACTAACAGTCCTTAATAGAGATCAGAGTACCTTTGTAGTAGAATCCCTATTAAGGACTGTCAGTACAAGGGGATCCCACTAAAGGGATTTTGGATGTGCGCGTGGCTTGACCTACCATGGGCTTGAGGCTCAAGGTTGATGAAGGTTGGAGCATGTGGCTTGCGGGCCAAAAACCTAAGGGTTATAAAGATTAATTAGGTATTAGGGCTTCTCCTATAATGCGGCCACTGATACTTGAGGTCATTGAATAAGGGACCGGATTTCGAGAGCTGACCAGACTCAGCAAACCTCAGCCCTTCCAACCCGACCTCCTGAACGTGACACCTCAAAACCCTCGCAACCTAAACCTGACTTCGCCCCAAAGCCTGTATAAGTCCGAATCATCAGTAAGGCTAAGAAGTTTCCTAAACCCTAAACCCTAAACCCTAAACCCTAAACCCTAAACCCTAAACCCTAAACCCTAAACCCTAAACCCTAAACCCTAAACCCTAAACCCTAAACCCTAAACCCTAAACCCTAAACCCTAAACCCAAAGCAGGCCCCGCCCCCTGGGCACAGCGCGTGCTTCAGGGATTGGCCAAGGCGCCGAGGCCTCCTTCCGAAGCTGATGCCAGGGTTTAGGGTTTAGGGTTTAGGGTTTAGGGTTTAGGGTTTAGGTTTAGGGTTTAGGGGTTAGGGTTTAGGGTTTAGGGTTCAGCATCTCAAGTCCAGGCACTTACTAGTAGAGCTCCTCGCTCCGGTATCCAATATCGACGCACCCACCTATTTCCATTTCTTCTTTGTGCCTTTCTTCATTTTCACATTTTTAATCTATATTTTCTATCTTCTAATAATCCTTTAAGGAATTCCACTAATAATCAAATAGCATTTTTCCTTTCATTATTAGTAAAGATTTCTATGGAAGGATATTAATTCTCTATCTATATCTTCTTCAAATTCATTTCGGCTTCTCTTCTTTCTCACATCCAGATAATGCATTAGAAGCATGTGGATCACTTACTCCTTTACATATAGTACCTGAATGGTATTTCTTATGCCAATATGCTATGTTAAAAGCTGTACCAAATAAAATGCAGGATTCATTATCTTATTTACTTCTATCTTCATCCTATTTTACTTTATGAGAAGTCTTTCAACGTCATTCTATTTTATAATTAAGACGTCCAGTAGATTTAATGGTTTTTATCTGTGCTTTTGGTTTCTTTCACTTTTGTCTTTAATTTGGACAGGTGGTCAATTTCCTGTAGACAACTTTCTATCTTATGGTCGTATCTTGACATTTTATTATTTTCTTCTTATTTTCTCGTGTGTACTTCGTTGTGTTCTTTCGCTCAGTATATTCGCTCTTTCACACACTTCGGTGCAGCGCGCGCGCGTTTTCAGGGGTTGGGGGCCGTTTTGGAAGCATGCAGACTAAAACAGGTTAACCATGCCTGAAGCGCTTTGCTTAGGAACGCGCTGCTTGTAGGACCATGTTGTCGCTGCCTTCGTGTGTTGAACTGTTTCGTCGAGCGATCACTCACAGGACGTTGAACCCTACTTATCTTGCGATGCTTGCTCAGAAATACAACTTGGAGATCATTGCGTCTCTACCCATTGTTTTTGAAGCAGTTTGTTGAAAGGAATGAGCTTTAGTCTTGAGACGGTGTTTGGGAATCCAGGTCGGACAAAGCGCTACTTCGTCACGACACTGTCCGATACGCGCCTAACTGCTTAAGTGCTGTCCGATATGCGCCAAACTGCTTGAGCACCTGCAATAGTG